CGTACCACCTTTTATCAAATGCACCCTCCCTCACGGGACCCGCCGAGAAGGTTCCGCAGATCGTATCGCGGATGGTGCCACTTGGTACCCACGGTGTTTGCGCGCAGAATGCCGGCTGTCGAGTAGTCACTGTCGTGGAACCTGTCTCGCAAACTGCTTGGCCAAGTATGGCCCGAAGCAGGGTCGATTTGCCTGATCCAACTGGCCCTCGGATTAAGACCAACGCTCCTAGAGGGACTTCTAAATTAATACCCCTTAAGACAATCTTTGCCGATGAGGATGGGCGAATGCTGAGATTTTCCATGGAAATGACAGGTGTTCGAAGGTCAGTAGTGCCAGGTGAGCCCTTGAACGTCATGTATTGCGCTCCTGCGGTATGCGGAGATGCATCAGCTTCCGTTTCCCTCGTCCGAAAAAAGCCCTCCCCCATGTGCTGAGGGTCGGTTTCCAGCAGAAGAAATGCTTGTATCCTATCAAAGGATCCTGTCGCAGCCGCTATGGTAGGAATCGCGCTTAATAGCTTAGAAGCTGGATTAGTTAGAAGGGTTATGATGGACAGACTGCTGAACACCTTGGTAACGTTCAGTTCATTTCCTTGCGCGGCGTAGGCGACGAAGGTCAAAGCTGGCGCCAATGCCCAAGGCAGATTCTGGATCATATTTTTCCAGACCACACTCCATCGGTACTTGGCCATTTGGTGTGTTTCATGGGCCCTTTTCCTCTGTACGAGCTGAATAAGGGTTTGACCTAATCCAGTCGCCTTGACGGTTTGGATACCATCCAGCATTGAACGGGTGATCGCTATGCGTTGCTGTACAGCATCCACCCATATTCTCTGGTGTCCTCCTATATGCTTTGAGATATAAATACTTCCTCCACTGGATACTATTATTAAATTTCAGCAAATTGAAGCTCTATGTGGCGAGACAGGAATCCTTACTGAGAACGACCACTAATGGTATTAGGCAAACCCACCCTAACTGAAGCGCGAGTAATGCAATGCCAAAGCCCACTTCAATTGTCCGCGCCCAGAATTCATTCAGAGTTATTAAACAGGTGATGACCCGGTCAACATCGGTAGTTATTAGGGTAATTGTGGTAGAACGGTCCCCTAGGGTGCCATCCGGAATGTGTAAGGCATGGTCGTAGATCATCGAGGAGGCTGCCCCTCTGAACATTGTTACAAAACGATACAAACGCTGGTCGTATATGAGGTTCGACAGAGCCATTCCAAAGTATATCAGAAGTGTGGCGCCGATGAGTCCGTAGCCGTCGTTGTTCGCGCTATGGGAGTTATCAAGCCAGTTGAGAATAGATGTGATCAAGAAGGGCTGTGAGAAGGTAATTCCGATCAAGAAGAGGCGTGGAAGTATCGTTAGAGTAAGCGGGCCCTTGAACGCTCGGCCCATTTGCCATGGGAACTCGAAGCGGCGCTCGGGACGCCGGCGTAGAGCCCAAGCTCTCAATGCCTTCTGCGCCGTTCCCGCGGACTCCAGGGGTTTATCGAGATGGTCAAGATCCTCAGTCGTCAGCATGGATCGAAAGCCCCTGAAAAACAACCGGTTCAGCCACCACATGAACGATCGATTGACAATTCCACTCGTCGACTCTGGAGGTAGATCCTGGTAGGGACCCATGAGGTGTTTCTGCTTCCCTAAGCTCTCAAAAAGCACCATTACTGTTTTCGCAGCAACACTTGCCGTGAAAAGACTAGGAATTAGGATGTTCCCGTGCGATAACCACAAAGTCCTTGTCTGCACAGCATCGAAGAGTAACGTGAAGAGAAGGTAGATGGCGAGGAGTGATGATGGTCTAACCGATCGCTCATCTTCCACCCACGTCAAGACCACAATTTCCACTGCCACTGCCAAATTGACTGCACTTGATGCCATAGAGACCTTTGTATTTGGCCGAGTTTTCTTTGCCCAGCTGATAAGCAAGGCAAGTTGAATCGCGGCGAAAATCAAGGCGGCTATCTGAGGTGAAATCGACGTTATGACGTGTTTCACTCTGCGAATAAGGCGATGTGAAAGTGCTTACCAGCTTTGCCAATCTCATTATGTGAGGCTGAGTCCGCACATCTCTCTTGATCAGGAATCGCAATCGAGGAGGACACACCAGCAGAAATGCGACCGCCGGAACGAGGCCAAGTATGGCTTGCTCGAACAATAGCGTGAAATCAAAGCCATCACGGCACCCAGGATCTATCGTAGGGCCGAAACTGTTGTCAGCCTGGAGCGAGCAACCTGGTGGCATAATGTCGTGTTGCATTCTTTTTACATTCCTGTTTTTCCTTCGACGAGATAGCGGTAAGGGAAAATCAATACATAAATAGATTTAATACCAGTAAGCTAACGAACCCCTGTCGCCTATTGCGCCATCGATGCCTTGTTATCACGAGGGACTTATCCTTATGGTAATTCGGGGATATTCCATATTAAACTACGCTATAACACACCCCTGTGGGTCTCTCAATGATGTTCAATGGACAGCTTCAGTACTAGTAGTCAGTATGCGGAATCCGCTACTGGCACCCTATGCTATCAAAACCAGTACATATCTATATCCGTCTGCAACACGACTAGAACCAACATAAGCTTTCCTCCGAATCAAAAGGACTGTGGTGGCACCAAAGGAAAGCTTATGAGCTTATGATTTGAACATTACAATTGATCGATGACGATGATATCATTAGCTCGATGTAGCTCGCTCTTAATGTACACTGCCATGCGGGAGTCCTCTCAGGTCTGCTGATAGTTATCAACTGATTTCATGATTATTCATTCTAGAATGGAGAAGATGTAAATACAACGTAGGATATGTATAGCAGGTATGAATATGATCAATATGAGGAAAACCTAAAATGACTGTTGTTTTCCCGCTTGATAGGTTTACGCCGGTCTCACTCCCTCCTCCTGGTAATCAATCATCTATCTGTTGGCGAGTACAGTGGACCTAGCACTGCATTCCTACTGATCCTCGTCGTTCTACATCCGTCCCACCATCCTTAGGGTTCCTGCCTCATCCCGTTCTCACTCCTAAAGCCTCGGCCTAGGACCAGAAGGGATTGTAGTATTCCTTTATTTTCTTACAAAATAGAACAATTTGTTAAATAAATTTAAAACTTCTATATTATATAACACTACAAACATCTAGGCCTGATTACTGGGGCTATCCTTTAGGGATATATAGGGATTTATAGGATATTATATGAGCTATTTTCTACCTAGCCAGCTCGTTAATAAGACGGCCTAGTGTATTTGTATTAATAAATCTCATCTATAACCTCATCCTATATATTAAGTAATTTTTGGAGAGACGAGCAGGGGAGATGACCACCGCACAGACTGTGGCGGCTTACAGCACATGGAGCCAAGAAAAGACACAACGAGGTTTGAAGGATATGGCTGCCTGACCTTTAGTTGTTTAAATACTATTCCATAAGTTAGACCCTGGGAAAATCCTTTGTAGTTTGTTTTCGGTCGTACTTGACAGACCCTCAAAGCATAGAAGCTTGACAAAGCGGAAGTAGTACTCATCTTTCTACGTAAAGCAGCCTCCTAGGAATATATGCCCGGTATGGCCGACCAAAGCAAGCCCGTGAAAGTTGTGCACAGTTGGTGGGTGAATTTTTGGACGTGGGCAATGCAACTGTACGCTACATCATTAAGCCACTATCACGAATCGTAACTAAAAGATAGGGAGAAAAAGATACTTTGTTTTATACATTAACACACTACGATGGATGGTATCACTTCTGCTCGTACTCACACCCACTCTGTGGGGTCCACGAGTATGGTTTGCTCTACTAGGCACCAGCATGACCGAGCAACCAGTTTATCTAGGTGGCACTGTTATGAACGCAATGTCCCAACAGGATTCTGACGGTCAGTGCAAAACCTGGACGGAAAAACGCGACGCAATCACAAACTCAGCTTCCAGTGCCTCGGCATGGTACGGTCCTGGCGCCTATCTAGCCTGGTTAATAACCGCGTATGCCACAGCTCTATCCACAATATGGCATTCGAAATGTTCAGAAAAACATCCTGATGTCAATAAACTCGACGCAGAAATCCTCCTCACCATCGGCTATCCTCTAGTCGCCCTTGGCGATGTTTTACTTCGTCTGATACGATGTCAGATCGACCCCGGGATGACCGCCGCTGTATTTGTGCTCGTATCCACACTGACCATCATTGGACCTCTGACCAGATTATCATGGCAGGAAGACGGCGTGGAGGCCGAGATCGATCCGCCCAATTTTCCTAGAACGGCGAAAGAGTGGACATGGAAAACCTGCCGCTTCCTCTGTCATACCGTCGTCTATGCCATTCTCTTTGAGCCGTATCTTGAGTCTCGGGTCATGCTGGCCGTTTATGTACTCCTGTTTGTGACGGTGTTGTACGCTGGGATTTACGGGGAGGCTCGATTCGACAAGTATCCATACCGACGGATTGTGTATCGGCCGAGGGGAGAGCGGGTGGTAGTCTTTTGCGTCGTACAGCTTGTTTTTAATATCGTGTTGTTCTCGGTTTCCCGTTCGGTCTGGCCAAAGACGGATGCTAGTCTTCTGGATCTGGATCAGATCGCTGGTGTATTCCTCACTACGACAACGTTGGTATATTCCCGGCGAGAGGGGATTATGGCGTTTATGAAATGGTTGAGATGTAAACGGTCTACTGTTGAAGTACTGTCGGAATCTTGATCCGGGGGGCTGTAGTGTAGGGCAAGGATGATCGAAACTATTGATATGCTTCGCATAGGCACATGATTGAAGGGTCGGGTTATCCAAGTTATTGATATGATGTGGGTCAATTGAAAAGAAGTGGAATCTGGATCTGTAGCGAAGGATACCGGAATAGCAAGGGTTAGATCCTTGTCTTTTTAAGTTAAGCGTATTCCCAACCCTGTATAGTGTGCAAATTCAGGCTTGAGGCGATAGCTCAGGCAGCAACACATGAAAGCTCGCCAAGTCATGACATCATTCTCGGCCATTTAAGGAAATGCAACCTCCAACTTCACTGCAATGGATCTCCCATATTTCCTACGGTCTATTTCCACGGTCTACTCCTAGGATGACTAGAACGAAGCACTGTCTGATTCTCGAGGCCTCTAACCGTCAAAATGGGTGGTGGCGCTCAATTCCCTAGTTACCATCCGCAAGAGCCAACCGACAACAAAAGCTCGCAATGGCAGGAACCAGGAGAAAAGCGATATCTTCACGGGATAGTGGATATGGGCAGGCAAGAAACAAGCTACTCTACAGATCACGAACCAATCTAATTTTCAGTTTGTTAGTAACGGAATCCGATGCTCGATTACAGACCTCTCACCACCAACCACCCGTATCCTGCCAACTGTTTATTCGCAACGGTTCAACATCTCACTCTACGATGCGCAATATGACTCAGAGACTGGGAAGCAGATTCCAATACCGAAGAAGGTTATCAATGCGGTCGTTGCAGGTATACTTCGCTTCCAGATTGTCTGTCTGGAAGTGGGTGTCCCGGCGAGTCAGATGCTGATTATTGCGACTGAGGCTACGCGGAAGGCGATTAACTCGGAGGAGTTCATAAAGACCATCCAGGACAGGACACACGTCAAAGTTCGAATGCTGCCGAAGGATGAGGAGGGTGTGGTTGGTGCTTGGGGAATTGCGAGCGGATATTCTGATATTGAGGGATTGGCGATTGATCTCGGGGGTGGAAGTATGCAAATGACATGGATTATTTCGCATGGTGGAGACGTGCATATCAGTCGCAAGGGGTCTATTAGTTTTCCGTACGGTGCGGCTGCTTTGACGCAGAAGTTGGAAGCTCTGACGAAGGATAAAGATGAGGATGAGGCATGCAAGGCGAAGGAGAAATTCCGCCAGGAGATGACTAGTCAGTTTCGTCGCGCGTGGGAGGATCTAGAGATTCCTAAGCACCTAGTCGACAAGGCGAAGAAAGAGGGAGGCTTCCAGCTTTACCTCTCTGGGGGAGGATTCCGGGGATGGGGCTACCTTCTTCTCTATCTTCATCAAGTCCGAGGCGAGTATTACCCCATTTCGATCATCAATGGATACTCCGCTGGGAAGAAGGACTTTGAGAACACAGAGGTATTGAAGAAGGTTGCTAAGACTGCAAACGATATCTTCCGTGTCTCGGATCGACGCCGAAAACAAGTCCCCTCGGTCGCATTCCTCGTGAACGTGCTCGCGAAGGCTATTCCTCACGGGATTAAAGAAGCTCATTTCTGCCAGGGAGGGGTTCGAGAGGGTGCTTTATATCGCAAGATCCTGCCTGTTATCCGCCAGCAGGACCCGTTGCAGGTTGCGACCATGGATTTCGCCCGCGGATCGGCCCAAGCGATGGCCCTCATGGCATTCTCTTCCATTCCTCGTCCAACACAGGAGAGGTCATTTCCTCATTCTATCAGTCCACATGTTATTCAGGCCTTTGCCAATATTCTTTATGCGCATTCTACTATGTCTAAAGAGACAGCGGCCACAGCCGCGCTGTACAGCACCAGCACCGGCGTCCTGGCGGAAGCGCATGGTATACCGCATTCCGATCGCGCTCGCCTGGCGTTGATGCTGCAGGAGAGGTACGGTGGCGAGTTACCACCTCGTGAGATCGACTTTAAGAAGAGCCTACGGTCGCTTCTCACACCGGAGGAAGTCTGGTGGACGCGGTATCTAGGGAAACTGGGTCTCGTCATCAGCCGCGTGTATCCCACGGGTGTCATTGACCCATCCAGGCCTCGCGCACTACCGAGAGCACGCTGGGCAAATAATCTGGGGAAGAAAAAAAACAAGAAAGGACTTGAATTGAAAGTCTCTCTCCAGAAGGTAGGGTTTGACCCCACCAGGTTAAAGCAAGAGTTAGAAGCAGACCTGAAGAAGCTGCGGAAGGTCGGGAAAAGGAAGCACTGGATTGGGGGTAGGGATGGATGGGGGATGAAAGTCGAAGTCATTCTAGAGGAGGAAGACCTGCTTTAACGGTGATCTTACGAGAAAAGGAATATCTTATACGGACTGGTTTTATTGGCGCACGCTTCAATGTATTCTCGGTGCTCCGGATGCAATGTCTCGCTCATGGTTGTTTCACCCTCTACCGCGTCACCCTTTTCTTCTCTCCACCGGCGACACCTACAAGGCTCCCGTACTTCAGGGTGTTCATAGTGGCGGCGAATTGCTCCGATGACGGTGACACCGTGAGGATCATAGCAGAATAACTATCAGTCGTATTCGTGCCGAGGAAGTGGTCACGCAGTACCATGGTCAGGGGTGACGACCGGAACGGAATGCGTGCCTGCTTCGACGCTCGTGCTCGGATAACCTCTTTCAATGCCAGGAGGTCCGTATTAATCTGCCGGCCTTCTTGTTGCTCCTGGGGTGTTTGCTTTGGTCGCGGCACGGTAGAGATCGTCTTGTCATGATAATACTCGGAACCAGCCAGATCGACAAAAACCAGTTTGCCCCCGAGACATGTATGACCGGATGAGTTTAAAATATCACTGACTTTGTCCTCGGCCTGCTGCACGTATGATTCGAACTCGGCCTTCTTGGCTTCGGCGGCGTCAATCCGTGCCTGGTCGATTTGGTAGTCAGGGTTGGGGATATATTTGCCATCTGCACCTTGAATATATCCCTTCGTGTTCTCTTCGATGTAGATATCAGTCGCACGTTTTCCTACCGGGACTAATTCCGATTGCCGCTGAACAACCGCATCGCGAGCCTCAAGGAGTGCCCTGGTCACAATCTCTAGTTCCAAAACAGCGTGTGTGCGCGAGCTTTGGTCATGGATCGTGGATGTTCCCGTCGCTCTCAGCTTGAGCCCCGCCAGCAGCTCCTGGCGCAGGTCTTCGAAGCTCCAACATGCTTTCGTAACGATCGGACGGACCCGGACTTTGCCCTCCTCCAGGAGTTCAGTCTCACCCCTGATGTGTGTTTTCCCGTCATGCCCTTCGCGGACATAACATTGGCACCGTCCATTGAGCAGATCAAAGGCTATATTTTTGCGTAGCTCGAACATACGAATTCCAATGGCTAGTTCTTCAGCAGGGTTATCAATGTCCCGGTTATATTCTGCCAATGTATCGCTGAGATGTCTGGCAGCTGCTAGGCATAACCCAAATTCATCAGGATTCTCAAAATCGTATCCGATAATCGTATGTGACTTCCCACTTCCGGAGTGACCGTAAGCAAAGAAATTGCATGATCGTCCGCTAAGAACATAGGGAAGGGTTGGGGTGACTGCGGCTTCAAAGACCGACTTGTTATTGTCGGTTGCTTCGAATACTTGTGTGAATGCAGCTTCGCTTTTCCACGGACGCTCAGTGGCAGAGCGTGAAGAAGGGGTAAGCGAAATAGATACTTGGCCAGTGTCTTGTGGGTTGTGTGTGCGTTGAATCTCTGGTGTTGTTGACTCGCCAGGGGAGAGAGGCCGCCAGCGGGTGTATACTTTGAATTGATGCATTAGGTATTACCGATAGGACAATTGAGATTGAAGAGGAGAGAATAAGAGTAGAAGAGTTGTTACCTCAAGACGGAGAGGGAGGCAGGGAGTTTTGAAAATATATTCTCATTTTGCAGGCGGTCCCTCATAGTGTCTTAGATTGTCTCCATATACAGTATTATTTTATTTCCCTTTTTAACTTGGTGTTGGTCGAGTACGAGGTCTTTGACTCCGCCTGCCACCCACTCAGGGACACGATATATCTTCACTGACCCACCGGGTGGTTGATAGCCGGAATTTGCCAATCTCCGAAAGTCCGGCTCAAACATCGGCTGCCTCAGGCATGATGGACAGGCCGTGACAGGAAGCATGACAGATATTCCAGACCCACACTTGCATACATGATACCATAAGTACTCAATTAACACGACTCGAGGCGATGAATATCACCTTACTTTGTTATTACACCATTCATTTACCTTTCATAAACATATATACAATCCAAACAACTGTTGTTCTTAGCCCGGCGGAATTGGGAACCGTAGAGAGTAGCATCAGGCGCGTTGAGATAACGAGTGGACATAATCTCACCTTCCCACATTGATTTTTTTTTTTTTTTTTTTTTAAAGAGATATATAATCTAATGGTGTTTTTAAATGGCTTTATCTTTTAATATATCAAGCAGAAATTCCATTCATGTAAATATAATAGAGATAAAAACGTCTTACGAACGGCTGGACCTACGGGAGCACAAAATATATATAACCAACAAACAACCCAAAACTATAACAGCCACTAATCAGCGAAGTATACTTATGTTCGTGTGTATGTGTATCCCTTTCAAAACTGACAATGACAATACCACAATATCTATTCTATTGGGTCAAGCTAAATAATACCAAGAACTAGAAAGTTGCACTCCTGCTGCGATGCGAGTATCCACGATACGAGTGCGGGTTGAATTATGTTTCGTGACCCGGAGTCAACTCAAAAAGGAAAAGACAGAAGTAACGGACAGTATATATTTAAGGACTTAGTTGGCTATGATAGAATTTACTACAATCTAGTGAGAACGAAAGTGCGAGATTCAGGTAAAGATATAACGGTAATATTCATTTTATTGCTAATGTGGTGGTTTGAGTCTAGATGACTATATTGCGCTACTATTTAGTTGAAAAAAGTAATATAGGTCTAGTCATAGATCGGTATTACTGGCCAAGGACAGAAAAGGCTCCCAACATCAGGGAGCTTTTCCATGTTGCCATGTTCATATAGATGCCACTTAACTCCAACATCATCCTCCCCAGATTCCCTGCCACAACGTCACAATGGAGTATACCTCGATTATATTCTAAAGGATGTATACAACACCGTGCCGCTGTGGCTAAGACCTGAGAAAGAGATCGGTACATGGAGCTATGGAGGGCTCTACCTGAACCCGCAGCAGAGGAAAGCTCTGGGAAAGAAAAAAAAAAAAAAAAAAAGAATAACAGGACTACGCGGTCTATGACTGACCTTTTATACCTGCTTGGTGATTCCGGAATGAGTCTTAACTTGATGGTTGCAGAAGCCAGAACAAGGAGTACCTCCCCCGCTCTACAGACGTAATCAGAAACTCGTGAATTCCTTCAAGTTCTACATTTCTTGGAAAGCTACATTACTAACAAAAAAGGCAGTAGTCTTCGATTCATGCAGGTTGGAGTACTAAGACATACACAACCGGAAGCAGTAAGCGATGGCATTCATGCCAAGGGCCATTCCAGGAGATGCCAGAAAACATGACACTACAAGGTTCCCATCATGTTGCATAGGAAGAAAGTGAAAGCTACTTAGGCTCTAACCACTAGTCTAGATGGATGCTCCACCATGGAAGAATCCTGCGCAGGGGTGGGGTGGCGTGCAGCTGTCAACGTAGCATACTATGCTTTAAATCATGACGATCGTTCTCAAAACGGAGATGGCCCCAAGTCCAAGAGATCGAATATGTTGTAACGGAATTTGTGTAATAGGGTTGCATGCCGGGAGACATAACTTGCTGCTTTTGTCCCCATTACCCGTTTCTAGATGTATGGAGTGGGAATTGTTCCCCGTCTCGTTTTGCCTTCAGGCGTTGAATCTGAGCTGCAGGGGAGTTGATTGAGTCTACTGTATCTGATAAAGAGTGCACATAACATACAAGATGAAAGCCTCCCATACCCCATCTAAATTGCTCTCTACTAAAATGTATCATATCATTCCTGATGAACATGACTTTGTAACCTCAAACCTAGAAGTCCTGGGAGCCAGGGGTATAGCATTGGCGACCCAATCCCATTGTGAGAAAACTGGTCAAGGTTGAAGCCCCTCGCCTGCCAGGTCATGCCAAATCCGGCCATGGCTATTCAATCCAAGCTTTTACTTGGCTGTCCCTCTATAGACATTCCGTGGAAAGGGAGAGAGGGGCGTTGCATGTCCGATTTAGCTTACGGAATTAGAAGCAAATGCTTGCATAATGGAATGCACCTTACGCCCCTCCTCAAGTGAGACTTCCATGGCTACGGAGCAAGATGATGCATTTCCGCACTCTCTGTTCTCGTAAGGATGATAGATGATCATCATCAACCGGTATGATCGTCTCCAAATGACACAGGAAGAGGCAATACCAAACCTCAACGTAGGATCCCTTGAGATGAGTTTTTCACAGATCTACAGAAGACTTCACCTTTAAGGCAGGACTCAGATGAAGTCGTGGACTCCACCGTGATCTATAAAGAGCCCTGTCCAGCTCATCTGTATCAGCTTCTCATCATCAGCATCATCTGAGTTCCAAAGCAATCTCTTCTCTCGCTCTTTCCACATCAAAAACTATCCATCTAACAGAATCTTTTCCTGTTACTACTTCCAACCATCACCATGAAGTTCACTGTTGCTGCTGTCCTTGGCTTTGCCATCACCGCTCTTGCCGTGCCCTCTGCTAACCAGGGAGCCGGCCAGCCCAAGATCACCCAGATCTCCTACCACGAAGCCAAGGGCCAGTGCACTACTGGCGATATCTATTGCTGCAACAACAAGCACGATGAGAAGACCGGCGGCCTTCTCAACTTGCTCAATGACGGCCTCATCAAGAATCTGGACGGCCAGAGTGACTCCAGCTGTGCCAGCACGAGCCTTATCAAGGAGCTCAACTTGCTTTGTAAGACCCTGAACCCCCTTCCCATCATCCCTCCAATGGGTATACGGATATGGCAGGTAAAACTAACACACTAAATACAGCCTTTGCCACCCATGGCAAGGACGACAAGGACAGCTTCTGCAAGAACGTCATTGCCTGCTGCCCTGCTGGTGGAAAGGTAAAGTTTTCACCCCTCCCCCCAACAGGAAGATATCAGCGTGTGCTGACATTATCATCACTCAGTGTGAGGCCATTAGCAAGTAAATGGCGCAACGGCTTGGACCTGCCTGTTTCATAGGCACATCGGATGCGGGAGGAGTGGTGGAAGTAGGTTGTTGAGTGTCGCATCCCAGGGTCCGAAAGCTCAGATTGCGCTGTCATCAGTTGGCCATCTTTCCGCAGGAATCAAGAGCCTGCCGTTGTCTGTGATTTGCAACGGGGATAGTGTTAGATTAGATAATACAAGAATAGAAGGGGATTGTTAACATCAGAACACTATACCTCCTGCCTTCACTGTAGAAACTTATGTAGATGTAAAAGCTATGTTGAAGGGGACAGTTGTAGTCCCTCAAAGCATCGCGGTACTTGATCTCTAGTGAGCCATTCCACAAGCACAACTAGAAGGATCGCTATTTTATTCCACGTCAAAGAGCAGTCGAGTCAAAATGCCTGATACCATTTTACCGTTGAGGAGGGCTCCAGACAACGACAGCACATAGTCACTATGCACATTTGAACTGAGAAATAACTTTTTCACTTCAATTTTATTTAGGCCATGTACTGGCATGCATACCGGCCTTAATTAGAGGTTCTTCACTACCATAGGCGACTGGGCTCCCTGCAGCTAATCTACCCCTTGTAAAGCCAGAGCCTGTTCAGCCAGAATCGCTATTATAGGATAAACACTGATATATGACACGCATACGGTTGGCATTTACTTATTTTAAAAAGTCACCCCGCACTTGTCGAGGTCTCGCCCAGTCTAGCTGAACTTTTTGTGCTTTGAAATGCAGGGCATTTGATTATTGGCGCAAGCGCTTAATTTCATGAAAGGGTCTCTTTCCGAATGGAGGGTCGAGGTTGGAATACCCCAATGCAGGGGCTAATCCGTAGTTCGGCCGGATCGGATCTCCACGGAGATAGACTACTGTGGAGTAATGTTAGGGTTCCAAACTTCACGAAAACGGAAATGATATGAGGCATGTCAAAATGACAGATGGCATGGGGATCAAACCCCGGACAGCGCACGGATCGCCCCGCCGAGAACGTTTGGAGCTGCCATTACCATTAATTACCCTCTGGTCAGGAATGTGTATTTTTCAACCTCGGATACCGTACAACGACAAGACACCAATGTATACTGTAGTTCCTTTAGTATCAACATTTGACTTTGAATAGGTAGCAAGGGCTCTGATTCTTCCAAGCTGAAATGTCATAGAGGGTGATGTGGAAGCCAGGTGTTTTTCCTTGTCTGGTTTATCCGGTATCCTGCCACTCCCATACGCCAACACTTTTTTACTCGTCTACTCATGGGTTTGGTATAGCCACAACTCCCAGACCTACTCAGAAGTTTCCCAACGAATTGCCCAGGAGCATAAAAAAATGAGTCATGCCAAAAGCCTCTGCCCTATCGCTCGCCCCGAGTACGGGATATCAGGAAGTCCTATCATCCTGCGAGCCAATCACTTCGAGGTGCACTTACCGCACGACTTGCACTTATTTCGATACAGTGTGCATGTCACTCATCCGTCGAAGGACGGGCTCCCAGAGAAGAACGCGCGGAGAGCAACTCCCCAGGTCATTCTGTTGCTGCTGAGAGACCATTTCTCCGACTACTTCCAGGGGATTGCCACCGATGGATACCAAACCCTCATCTCCAAACACAGACTGATGTTACAGGATGTTCCTTACCCGGTGTTATACCAAGGGACTGCCTATCATGTCACACTCACATTGAATGGTAGTCTAAACTTTGCTCGCCTTCACCGACTACCCGGCCTACCGGTCGGTCTTCAATCAGCTGCGCCCAGCAGAGCGGAATACCTCCAGGCATTGAATATCATTCTAGGCCATCATCCAAAGTTCACATCGCCGGCCTTGGTCTCCACCAGCAACGCCTATTTTGACCGTCGTGCTTCACGCATCGATCTAGGCTCGGGTTTACACACCCTCCGGGGACTCCATGCGGTCATTCGAGAAGCTCAAACCCGGCTTTGTCTCAATGTGGCTCCAAAGTTTTCCATTTGTTACAATGACGGTCCACTGGACCATGTCCTGATCGACTACATGCGCGAGAATGGCTCGGATATGCGCAAGCTCGCGGCATTCGTCGGTAATCTTCGCGTGGAACTCATACATCTCAATGGCCGACGAAGCTCGGGAAAGCGATCACCCCGGATAAAAACCATCGTTGGACTAGCGTCACCAGAGGATGGGCGAGACATGTTCCAACCCCCTCTCGTGCGGCACTTTGGGGCTGGGGCCAGGGCTGTCGAATTTTACCGCGATACATCGTGCGAGAAACCGGGACTCTCCAGTGTCACCGAACCGGGAAGCAAAAAGAGGAAGGCCCCGATGGACAATGGATATGTGAGTGTGTACGACCACTTCCGGACAAGTATACACCCCCCCCCTTCTTTTTCGCGCATTGTATTACTCCCACCTTTGTTGTTCGGCGCTGATCCTTGCGTTTAATCATTGGCCATAGCTTATAATATCGTGATCCGTGACCCATGGCTTCCGGTGGTCAAGGTTGGCAGTATCTCAAATCCTTCGTATCTCCCCGCCGAGGTGTGTCGGGTATTGCCTGGTCAAGGTCTTCGCCGTCGCCCAACTACTGCACAGTCCCAAGAGGTCTCCCGTCTTGCCGTGAGCCACGCCCGTTCACGCCATGGACTCGGGTCGAGCCCGGCTGAAATGCGGGCCATCCTGGGGTTGCATGGCTCTCATGGACCCTCGTTGGTAGGTCGAGCTATCTCCTGTCCTCTTTTCCCACCGTCCATTCCGGGGATGCTCAGCAAACCTAGCTAACTCCGTTGTGCCCGCTGGTCGGGTGCTCCTCATCTGTAGAGCTCGTTCGGCCTGAAAATCTCTTCCGAAATGATGACCGTCCCCGGTCGTGTCCTACCCGGTCCATCGATCGTCTACCGACACGGCAAAGAGGCTGGTGTGCGGTCGGGGGCGTGGAATTTGCTGGGCCTGAGGTTCCAGGAGAGCACCAAGCTTGCCGGATGGACGTATCTATACTTTCCAGGAACCTCAGACCCCGGCTGGTATCGCCAGGATCAACAGTCGATGGAGGGTGCCTTAAGCAACCTTTACGCGCGCATGAAAAACGCTGGAATGAATATTCCGCCACCCCGTCTGCCCGGTATTCGCGTCTCGCCCTCCAGAGACGATGATGGGTTGGACCACGCGATGGACACTTTCCTTGGTTTATCCTTGACCTTTCTAATTATTATTCTTCCACGGCAAGATGAAAGGCTTTACAATCGCGTGAAGTATCTCTGTGATGTGCGGAAAGGAATCCCCAATATCTGCGTTGTCTCCCCTCGATTTTTACGGGCGAAGGATGAATATCTGTCGAACGTGGTTTTCAAGATGAACTTGAAATTCGGGGGGTTGAACCACACCCTCCCGGCTCTCAGTCTCTCCATCATCCACGAGGGAAAGACTATGGTGGTCGGTGTGGACGTGACCCATCCTACATCCAGCAACTCCTCGCCGGACACCCCCAGTGTGGCTGCGATGGTCGCCTCGACCGATCCATTCCTGGGGCAATGGCCTGGCGCCGTGCGCGTCCAACCGGCTCGTCAGGAAATCGTTTGTGAGATCGACAAGCTCCTGTTATCCCGACTCCATCTGTGGCAGAAGCGCAACCACGGTGCTCTGCCCGAAAACATTCTCGTATACCGCGACGGAGTTTCCGTGACCCAATATGGCAGTGCCCTCAATACCGAGCTCCCTCTGCTGCAGAAAGCGTGTGCAGGCCTGTATGAGAATCATCATCGCCCACCACCTCGCTTTACCATCGTTCTCGTGGAGAAGCGCCATCAGATCCGGTTTCAGACGGCCGATGGCAGACCATCCGGGTCCAGACCACCGCTGCACCGGAGCAGTAACCCCCCCAATGGTACGGTCGTAGATCGAAGGATCACCGACAGCCAAACCTGGGACTTTTACATTCAGTCTCACGCTGCCCCTCGGGGTACTGCTCGTCCGGGACATTACGTGGTGCTCTTTGATCAAATCTTCCAGGGCGCTCTCCAACGCCAAAACCGACGAGGAGGGGACTCGAATGTGGCCGATGCGCTTCAGGCGCTGACGTATCACTTATGTTACCTCTATGCTCGTGCGACTCGAGTGGCCAGTATCTGTCCACCCGTATTCTATGCGGATTTGGCCTGTTCTCGGGCACGCTGCTACCTGCAGGAGGTGATGAAACCTTTCTCCGGGAAGGTCCCCTCCTCCTCCTCCTCCTCCTCCTCCTCCTCCCGACCACGGCTCCTGGATATCGGCCCGCATGAGAAGATCAAGGATACCATGTTTTACATCTAGAATTACTCTATCGGTTCTTCTGTAACGGTGGCCTTTGGGTTGTGGGGTGGGGATCTCTGGTCAATCGTAAAGCGTTACTAATTTTCTCACTCACTCTCTCTCCCTGCTCTATACTTATTATTAAGACTATCTTGAGTGACTAAGGTAGAGAGAAATAATCATATTTTAATGTCTACTATTCATGATCATTTATGAGTAGTTATGGGTCTACTTGAAATATCGCGTATTTTAAAAAAAAAAACACAATCCATCCGTGGTATTGTAATTTAACTTTTTTTTTTTTTTTTTCAAACGTGGAATAGAACGAACTTCTAGAATAAGGTTTCGGTCCTCGATTCCCTTTCCCTCCGCATTTTGATTTTTCCAATCCCGGGGGCTGAATCAGGCGGATCGCCCCTGGCATGTTCCGGAAAAGCAAATCGAGGGAGAGCAACAGGTTCCTGTCACGGGCTGTCAATTCCGTCAAGTTCTGTTAGCTCTGTCAATCTCCCATATTTCTCCACTTCTGTTGGTTACTACCATAGAAACCATGTGCCCCCTCTCAGCTCATCACTCGATTGAGGGAATCCGATGAGGGAAATAAATAAAAATATGAGCAATGAAAAGGAATTCATTCCTCCACAAAACCAAATTCGGAGATGGGAGGTTAGGTAACCTAATGCTCTCATTGGTCCGCGGCATTCCGGGTGTATTACGCGGGCCAATCAGAGCTGCCGATGGCGCTAAACGCGAGTCAGAGACACCAGAAATTCTAAGGTCGTCCGACTGTCCCGTCCATTCATTTACGCACTTTCGACTTACTAACTCCGTCCTTTTGCTTACTTCGGAGAAACGCAATGCGGCGAAGGGAGAAAAGTTATTGAATCGTATCGCATACTTGGGCGAAACGTTGCCTTGCGCCTATTGAGAAAGAGTCAGTACGATCGAGCTGGGCCGCAAGCAATGGTTCGCATAGCTGCTGCCCTTGCCCAGACGTGGGACCTGCATTGTAACGTGAATGACTTTTGCGGCTGAAAGTGTCAATTCCTACGACAGACTGCCCCTGGTGGTCCCCTCCCGGCCTTTGCCATCTCTCGATTCCGGCCGGCAAAGGGAGGTTGAGCTGCCCAATGTTACTCTGGGGCCTTCTCCTACTCTATCCTAACCCGGACCTCCGATATCCGTCTCCTAGGACACAACCACTAGATTCGTCGTTTTGCGCTTGGTCCCTCCGTCTGGTCCTCGGAGACCCGTGACTTCCAAGAATTCTCTTGATATCAAGTATGGAACCACTCCACGGTATCATTGAGACGTACCACAGAGTACACCATTCATTCCCCAGCAAACGCTAAACCATGCGCAAAGGCTCTCCAACATGGCCTTCGCGACGAATAAGCGCAATCATCTCGAGTACCTTAACGTTCTCGTCTAGCCAGAATCCCGTATTCATCCCAAGGACTTCTGTGGTTCCCAGGGAGAATGATCATGCCCTCATACCGACAGATTCGGGAATTAGACTCCCCTCCGGAATGACGTCTGTATCCCAGCAGAGGATCTACATGGATGGGAACAGAGAGCCTTCCTCACTTAGACATCAAGCAGGGAAAGAGGGCATACTGAGCATGGTTGGAAATTATGGAATGGACCGGTAGCGTTTCAGTTACAGTCCAGGAGAATGTTGCGAGCAGACGTTCCAAGGGTTGATCTGCTATGGAGCCACCAACCAACTGCATCCCCGTCGTCGTCGTCAGTCAGTCAGTCAGTCAGTCAGTCAACGGATCACACAGGCTGGTGGCTCATTCCTCTCAGAAGGTATGGAGGGGGAAGGCCAGGACCGGACATTCACCCTCGAAGTTGAGCATCGCAAGCACCTCGTCCACAACATAAATAGGCCCCAAACCCCAGCTCTCTGGATGATTTTTTCTTCATCAGCTCAAACACTCTCTTCTAAATCATCAGTTCTCAAAGTCTCTTCTCAGTTTCACCACAAACTATCAAAGCTTCTTACCATCAAGATGTACGCCACCACCATTGTCAACTTCTTCATGCTTGCCGTCGCGGCATCTGCTGCTGCCACCGCCAAAGCGGCCGACTCCAAGGCCTTGCAGAAGGCTGCCGAGGGCAAGTGTGACATTGGCAACATTGCCTGCTGCAACTCTGTGCACGATGAGAAGGATGAGACTCTCATCAGCTTGCTGAAGGAGGGTCTCATCCACAACTTGGTCGGCAATGAGGATTCTCCTTGTGCCAAGGCCAGCCTCATCGATGAGCTGGGCCTCCTTTGTGAGTTGTCCCCCGCAGCCTGGATCCGCCTCGAGCCTATGAACTAATACAATGATTTCCAGCTCTGATCAAGCACACCAACGAAGGACCCGTTTGCAAGAACGTCATCGCTTGCTGCCCCGGTGGCACTGTAAGTTTCTTCAACCGTTCTTTTAGAGGACAAAATCAAGTAATCCATCACTAACATGGGTCCCCCAACACAGTGCGTTGCCATTGACGGTTCCGCGGAGAAGGAGAAGTCCAAGCGGGACGACTACGACTACGAGAACAAGGGCCACAAGGGCCACAAGAACGAGAAGGAGGACAAGAAGGAAGACAAGAAGGAAGACAAGAAGGACAAGGAGAACAAGCACGAGAAGGACGACAAGCACGAGAAGGGCCGCAAGGAACATGGCCGCTACTAAACGGCTTTCCTTCGGGCGGCTTTTCCAGCATGTCTCATGCTCGATGGCCTTTACGACACTTCCCCAAGTCAACAGGGGGATAATGGATTGTTAACAAAGTCTACTGTTGTGCCAATTTAGACGGGCGACTTGGTGGTTAGACATCTGATAGCCACTTGGGCCTTTTTGTCGCTCGTTCAGCTAACTTTCGATGGCGCGCTCTTGTTTTAGACATTATCTGCTTTAATTCTATCAGTCACTCGTTTACCAATCAAATACACTGGACTTTTATTATCAATTGCTACGGTTCCTTTTATCTACCGTAATATCCAAAACGTCTTGTATAACCCTGTTCCAGTAGTATGTTGCTGATACCTCCCATCACATACGTTGGGGATTGACATAGTAAGATGATCAGATTTCAGCCAATCTACCGTTGGACTGTTTTAAACCACATAATCATCATGCCTAATCAGATTGTTAATATACCGAATAACCCAGTTGCGGACAGTCAGGATAATACCACCCTTTTTCAAGCAACAGCGACTAGTAAATGAAGGCGGCAATGTGTACTCTAGTCCTTCTACGGAGATTGATTGATTATAGATAAGGCTCGGATTCTACCTAGAGGTACAATAAGATAAAAATGCGCTACATCTACTATAGGCGACATCTAGTGGCCAATACTCTTGTAAAAGATATATAGATTCATTAGATACTCGAAACATATATATACTACGGAGGGGCAAGATCATCATGAAGAAGAAAGAGGAATACAACAATAAAAAAAAATAAAAAAAATCTCATGGCTTGAATAGTAGCTTGCGTAACCAGGATATGCCTAAGTTCTTCCTTACGCACGGCGCAATAGCACGCCCACGATACAGCGTCCAGGTACGCGGTAACCAGGCCACAGTTATCAACAAAAACTAAGACTCGCTTCTTAAGCTATATTTCGTCTCTCTCTTAGGAGAGCAGGTTTACAGTGTCATGTCCGCCACACTGGATACATTCGAGTCTATTTTTCAAATGGCTTATCTGTCAGTCATTCCCTCCCTGCCAAGTGGCAGTGCTTGAGGCTGGGCTTGCACTACTGATGGTATCCTTTTCCTTATCCTTATCCTTTTCCTTTTCCTTTTCCTGCTTCTTCTTCCTACATTCTTTTCTCCTTTATTCCTCTTTCTTTCTTCTCTTCCTTTTAGCTTTTCAAACTAACTTCTCTGATAGGGTACCTAGGTCTACGAATGCCATTTCCCTTCCGACATGGAACGTACAAGCAGAATCTACAAAGACGATTACTTTCCTTCAATTGCCTTTTGTAAAGCACGACGACAACAATGACGACAACTGTGCAACAGAAGACGTCGAAACAAAGACTACGCCGCGAGTGCTACCGGGTAAGATGAATCTGCCCGATGAAAGTGGAACAGGTCGCGACATTGCAGATCCTGGACAAGGAGCATGATTGTCTTCCATTTATCCTGCAGCTACTGTCCTTTTTTCAAATGAGGATAACATGCCCCAAACCTAATATTCGATCTTCTAGACCGTATCGCTGGTGGGATACTGTACCAAGAAAAAATATACTCTGGTATAATTTGTCTAGGGCATGTTCGGGTCTGTGAAATGATTGGTACAAATCCTGGAGTAGTGCAATATGGATATTCATTGCAAGGCGAAGATGGGGTCATTTCGAATGACCAGGATTCCTGGCACCTTCTGCCAAATACCCCTTTCTTAGGATAGGAAAAATATTATCTGGGGGGTTAGTATCTTTATCTTGGCTGTGGTGCTCAGAAATCATTCATGAGTGTCAGTAGTGACGTTGGACCTGTTCTCCCCTTGTACGGGTTGGGACGGAGGCCCAAGTCCTGGATCAACTAGACGGATATAAGGAGTTATTGTGACCACCATGTATGAGGAGAGATGCAGTATGGATCCGTCTCTTTGCTTCGACGCACGCTCGGGATTTGAACCCCGCAGGTCTCAGGCCTTCAAGCCTGTTTGATTTGTTTCAGCAACGCAATAAAACAAGTTAGAACATCATAACAAGCATCTAGGCTTATTTGCAAGGTAGCTGCATCATTCATAAACTCTATATCTCGTAGTTTGTAGTTTCTTTTTTCCACCTCCGTTCAACCGGACTAGGATCTCACTTGGCTGTGGATCATCACGAATCCTGCAGGAAGCTGCTGACTGCCAATAAACCAATCTCTAGAGACTTGTTGAGCTGGACAGTAAGGCCATCGGTATTTGATAAGCCTAAATAGATTATAGACTGGCTGATCTGGGGGTCTGGGGCTGACCTGCCCCGGTTTGATGCTAAGCTTTCCATTCCGTTCGGCCGGATTGGACTACGTTGATCTATATCGGAATGGTGTTATAGCTCAATGTTGGGCTTTACAGCCAGTGAGTACAGCATTTAAATACCGTTCCAAGTGGCTAGTCACAGTTCTTAAATTATTGTCTCTTGCTTGTTCAATCCAGTCCTCTCCGTATAAAACCATGGCCGACCATAAAGCGGGCAGCGAACCAGATCTCAATCACAGAAGAGCATCTCCGTCCCAAGAAGGAACAGCAATGTCAGCATTAACGACAATTCCTACCTCAATCACTCTGTCAACGGAGCAGTTCGAGAAATTGTACCTCACCCCACTGAGGCACCGACAGCCCGCGTTCACCCAAACATTTGGAAACCCTACTCCGCTGTGCGTAACCGATCTACTTTTGTTTGCTCCTAATCTCGAATACTCAGATGAGATGTATAGAGCCCTGGGTGGCTTCGTGGTAACCACGACACCACTATCCTGTTGCTTGATGGCCTGGCGAGGTGCTGGTGGGAATGGAATTGCATTCACGTAGGATTGACTATTCGTCTGAATTCAAGGGTACATACTTTCTTTACACTAACAAACTAACACACCCTCAGCGGACCCATCATCTTCCTCGGCGGAACGTTGCTGGTTATCACCAGTATCTTGGAGTTTATCCTAGGGAATACATTCCCCTGCGTTGTGTTTGGCACTATCGGTAATACTCTCCAAGTCTTATACGAAATACCAGCCCCACACTCATTAGTTATTTAACTGACCTCATCCACACAGGAGGATTCTGGTTCGCCTTCGGAGCAACCCAAACCCCAGCTTTCAATGCCGCCGGTAAAACAACATCTTACTCCTCCATCTACCATTCAGAATGAGAATAACCATCAACAGCCCCATACTCCACCTCAACGACGAATACAATAGAAGGCCTCCATAGCCCCGAATTCCTCAATACATACGGTACACTCTCTCCCTCCCACTTTCCCTCTCAGTAACACACCACCACCTAACAAAAAAAAACCCTAAATCAACCAGCGTTCCTCTTCGTCTCAATGGCCATCCTAGTCACCATCTACATGATCTGTGCCACCCGCACAAACGCAGTCTATGTCCTCATCTTCGCCGCCCTCATCGTCGTTTTCGTCTGTCTAGCCGCCGCATACTGGCGTCTAGCGAACGGGGATGCTATTATTGGGAATCGTCTGATTGTTGTATGTTTTCCTTTTCCTTTTTTTTCTTTTTTTTTTCTTTTTTTTTTCCTTGTCCCTTCTTCCTTACCCCTCCTTTGTTTGATCACATATGGACTGATTATCAATCGCTAAATAATAATAATAATAATAATAATAATAGGGAGCCGGGGCTGCGTTGTTCGTAGCTAGTCTCTTAGGGTTCTATTTGCTCGTTGTGCAATTGTTTGAGGCTTTGGGGTTTCCGGTTAATCTGCCTGTGGGGGATTTGAGTGGGTTTTGGGGTAGGGGGAGGTATGTTGGTTTTTTATATATATATTTCTTTTTTTTATCATATCATATCTTATTTTATTTTGTTTCATTTTGTTAAGGTGTACTGCTGATATTGTTTGTGTTTACAGGGATGGTGAACGAGATGTAGAAATGGTCGGTGATGTTGGGGGAAAGGTGTGATGTGATGGGGTCGACATCTATTGGGATTGGGAGCTGTGCTTATCAAATCAATTGTTATTGAAGTTATTTTATATAAGACTCTTTATATAGAGGACAGTTAGTTATAAGTTTGAAATAGACCATAGCCAAAGATATATTAAAAACAATATAATGATGAATAGAAAGGAGTAGGCAAACCTAACTCACTGACTTAATCTAGCCACAAGGTCGATACTTATGTCAGAAGAACTAGGAAAACAAATTTGACTAGACTGCACAGTATAATATCAAATTATAAACACAGGGAAATAGAGCCATACAACTAGTATTATAGATTACAGTTGCGGCACGGAGTCCAGACCGGAATTTTACACATAGTGCCAAGAGGGCAGTTCCATATAGAATAGTAGACAATAGTTCACTACGCTAGTCATAGGCAGCGTTTACAATTCTGATAAGATAACAAGTACAAAAAGTACAATTCAATTGGTAAAAGAGCTGCTGGATGAGGTCGTCGTTTGTCACAAAATCAGAAGACTGTCCACCCGGACATCACTAATGTACTCCGTACATGCATGATAAATCGTCCTTTCCATGAAGAGAATATGAATCTCACGCCGAAGACGCAACACCGACCGTGCCAAATTCTGTCCGTGCAGAATTGCATAAGCCCACCGGAAACGACAGAACTCCGTTATCATGGTAGAATGCTTCAACAGACAACGCTGAGATGACCAATGCCCAGGGAAAAACCGTCACCAGCAAAGCAAAACGCCGTGAACTCGCCCGTTATGCACATTTATGTGTCAACATACATCAGCAACAATTCAGAGGAAAGAAAAAAAAAAAAAAGAATATAGAGACAAAGAGCATGGCAATATAGACGTCTGTTATTGTATGGAATGCCGACAAAAGGAAGAAAGGATAGGGGTATCAAGAGTTTGAGGCACGAAAAGTATTATTAGTTAAGTGGATCATGACGGAAGGTGCAGTCGTTGCCTTTTCTGCATTTCCCTTCGGGCCAGTAACGACACGGAACCAATCCAACCTTGGGCTGTCGTACATGGTTAGCAACTGGTTTCCATCAACAGATATGTAGGTCTTGGGCAACTTACATGACTCTTATTGGGGCCATTCGGCTTGTTCCGCTTGAAATAACCATATCTGTCATCCTCTGAACCATCAAAGCCCGGACCATCACGCGTGCGTTTGCGTTCTGGGTCATCAAATTGACCAGGCATTTGGGATGGGTTCGGCCCAGATTGTTGGTTGGCCCCAGCAAACTGTGATATGAATGCAGCCAGATTCGGCGCAATAGCGGGTTGCGACGGTTGAACAGGGGGGATGACAGGCGGTGGTTGCTGCATCTGCTTTTGAGCATTGAGGACAGCAAGGATTTTCTGGAAGTCGAGGCCCTGTGTTGCAGGAGACTGGGTAGCGGCAGGAAATTGAGGCACCTGGAACTGTTGGGCTGGAGGCTGTGGCGGCTGTTGTGGCGGCTGTTGCTGACGGAACATGCTAATGGTGCGTTCCAGATCTGACATCGGTGGTGCTTGCGTTACGGGCGGAGGCGGAGGAGGTGGTGTTGACTGCTGCTGAGGCGCATTTTGTATGATTTTGAGCAGGTTCGAAATGTCAAACTGGTTGGATTGTGTGCTTGGTTGAGGTTGAGCTGGGGTTGGAGTTGGAGTTGGCTGGGGATTGATAGCGGAAAAGTACCGCTCCTGTCGAGCCTGTCACAATACAGTTAAGGTCGGATCTACAAAAGGGAATGGAAACATGAAAGGATGATGCTTACCTTAACGTGATCTGGGAGTTCTCCAAGGGCAACTGTTTCGGCTGCCGGCTCATCGTCACTAGGCGGGGGAGGTTCCTTTGGCGACGGGGGGACATCCGCCGCGGAAGTATAGAAAACCATAAGCGTCGTGGCTTCACGGTGCTCTTGTGCTGCCTTCTCAGCACTGGTCGGCTGCTGAGTGCCGGCGCGTTTGATGTTATTCCGAGAACGGTCCTCAGATGTGATGTCCGCAAAATCAATTTCTGTCTGAGTTAGTCTGGCATTCCTGGTGGGAGTCTGGGCCATGAGCTTACCTGAAGGCTCATAGTAATCACGCAAACTTTCTTCGCGCACCCCGCCGTCCTCTTCCTCGTCGTACTCATCCAAGTCTCTGTGAAGTTTAAGCACACTACCCTCTCCCTTGACATCACCAGCCTCCCGCTGCGCATGATCCCCGGGACCAAGTTCCTCGTCCGGATCATGCGTGAACAAGCGAACTTCAGTCAGAGACTCATCCGGCTTCCACGTGACTCGCAGCCTTCTTCTGGCTTCTTTGCGGAGTCGCTTCTTTCGCTCCTCTTCCGTCTCCGGTGGCTTGTCCTCGGCTGGCTCAGATGGAGGTGATTCTTTCTGCTTATTTAGATCTGCCATAATATCACCAAAAGAGAAGGTCGGCCTGGGAGGCGCGGGTTGGGAGTCTTTCTTTTCGGCCGGTGTGCTGCTCAAAATTAGCATCGAAGGATAAAGTTCAATCAACTAGACAGATCTGCTTACCTGGACTTTGCTGCGGCGGCGGCGGCCGCCGCTCTTTCTGCATTTGAAGTTCCTGGCCTCTTCGACGCCGACGACAAACTTCCGAATAGGTTAGTCGGCTTTGGAGCAATGATATTAGCCTTTGGACGTGAAGTAGCTGCCGCTGCTGGTTTGGCGGCCTCTTGGCCTGTTTCCTGGGGCCGCTTGGCCGGGACATTCACAGGGCCATTGGTTGGCTTCTGGTTACTCTTGAGATTTGACGTAACAACCATCCGCTTTGTGGCTGGTTGACCATTGGCCTCGGCATCTCGAGGCCTTTTGGATCCAGCTAGCTCCGTACGTTGACCATCGGCCAACGCAGCATTGGGGACGGTATTCACACCGGGAGATGCCTCTTTGGGCGCTGCTTTACTGCTCTCCTGTTTTCTCTTAGTGGAACTGGAAGCATTGTCCAAAATCTTCTGCGCAAGGTCTTTAGCTACTTGTCCGCCCTTTTTCACGAACCGAGGCAGTAGTTTAGCAACGTTAGTTTTTTGGAGCACATCTTCATCCATGGTCACAAATCGAGCAAGTAGCTGATGAAAACATGTTAGTGATCTTGCGAGGCCAACCTATCCAGCGCGCCAACTTACCTTGAGTAGGTTGAGAGTGAATGCCCCATCGATGTCAGAGGCTTGATGCCGATCGAGAAGGAACGAATACATGGCAGCCACCGCCATGGGGTGCTCTCCTAGCCTAAAGATTTGGGTTAGCGAACGGACATTGCACATGACATAAAACATGTATCGGCAACAAAATGTATGACACGGTGGCTTCGGAAGACGACTAGTGTGACAGGCCAATCTTTATCACTTGGAGTCCTAGCCTAGCGACTCTTCCACATAGGTGATTATGCGGCCATCCTATGATAGCCCAAAGGGAATTGTTCTTTAAAGAGAACCTTTTCCCTTTACTTCCTTTGTTGTTTAAGGACATGTAACTAGGTATGTACTGTCCTTGGGTGCAAGGTAGTTTCCACCCTTACTTATAAGCATTCTTTTTAAGAAGATATGCTGAAGTCCACACTAAGGAAATTACGCGGGAGAGGCTCTCAATTCGTTTCTGACTTCTATGGCCATGACAACGATATGCCAAGTTGTTAAGAGAAAGGAATAATGAAAGAGAAAGGACATACTTCTCGACGATCGTGGGGTGACCCTGATCCAGAGTGGTGCTAATAACCACATCCATTAGGCGCCGCTGAAGGACAACATCCTTCTTGATCTGGGCCGCTTTATCGTTTTCGCCCTTGTTTTCCGCCATCTTCATCGCTTGTGACTTCTCTTTCCACGTGTCCCTCACGGCTTTGACAACGTCTTTGAACGCAACCAATGCCCCTTTGACCTTGTCAGCATGAGGCCGCCTATTACGCGGCGACCATACGGCTCGAAGGGCATCGTATCGCGCAGCAGCTTCCGGTTCAATCGGACGAACAAGAGGAATGGGGGATGGCTCTTCTGGCGCCTCAATTTCCAGTTCTGAGTCAGAGGTATCGGTCTCGGATCCAGAAGAAGCGAACTTCCCATCCGGCTTCTTTGTCGACGCTTTAGCCGCGGATTTTTTGGTTACCTTTTTCAATGTAGTTTGTTTCTTTCCTGGTTTTGCCGAGGTATTTGGTAGGAGCTGTTGCTGGCCTGGTGGGGTCAGTACAGAGTGAACAGGCGTAACATCAAGACACGTACGATTTATTGGTATGACCACTTCAACGCCTGGAGCTTGTGTACCCGAGATACTCGGGCCGTTAGCAGTGGGTCTGTTCAGGATTGACGGCATTTGTAGGTCGTTCCGGAAGTAGTCGAATGTCCTAAAAGAAATAGTAAGTAAATGCAACTGTGGGCATAAGGAAACTAGACTTCTCGGACTTGATACTCACCTCTGGCTATCCTGACGTTCGAAGCCTGGTGGATTAACGTAGATGAAATTATTAAGGGAGGCATGCTGGTTGTTGGCTTGCTGAGGAGTGTTAAGAAACTGGGGATTGATAGTTTGATGCTCATGCACAGTTGGCGCCGAATCAGAGAATTCGTTTGTGTACTGCATTTGACCATGCTGTTATCCATTAGCTAGACCATTCATATAGCGAACCTTGTTTCGGACTGTCCTACCGAAGTCTCCTCCGTGAACCCTGTGGGCAGAGTGTATGAAACTATTGGGTTTTGGGCCGTATTAGACTGATAAGGAGCTGATTGAGACGGCTGAGGCTGAGAAGCTTGGGGGGTTGGCGTTTGAGAAAAGGTGTCGGGCAACGAGATGTGTTGAGCAGGGTAGTAGTTTCGAGGGAAGGTATACGGCTGATAAGATGGGTTATCCGACGCATTGAGCGGCTGCGACTCAAAGGGAACTTGCCCCTGTGAGTACTGGGGCACTTGACGATATTGTACAGGCATCGCGAATCCTTGTGGGGTGGACGGCATGATCTGTTGAGGATGCAAAGGATTGGATCGCCAATTTTGAGTGGATGAGGGATACAAGTTATGACCATGCTCCTGTTGAAGTGGCAAAGAACTGCGTGGCTGAGGTGTTTGAGCGAACACTGGAGAATCCCAGTTTATACCCATTGGTTGTGGCTGCTGTGGTTGTTGCGATTGCTGGAGCTGTTGTTGTGGAGGATGCGCATGCTGATGTGGGGGTTCCGGGTTCGCATACAGTGACTCCCAGTATTCCGGCGGCAATGAGCCCGGGTCTACTGGCGCATGAGGCAGACCGCGCATCAGGTTTTGCGGCGGCGACTGCTCCATGCTGCCGTTCATTCAGTTCTGTGCTACCCGAGGTTGATATCTTAGGATGTTGTCGCAGAGTTATTTGGTCAAAGTACTAAAGGAAAACAACCCAAATTGGTAGGTATAAGTCACATGCATCCACGTGCGTGACAGTCCAAATTAGGAAAGGTCTGGGACGCCCGCCGGTCTTCAGTTGGCGGGAAGCCTGCGAGTGGGGTCACCAATCTAAGTCGTTCTATTGGACAGAGCCTCGTGAGAAACGTTGGAACAGTGAATGTAAGCTGGTCTCACTGGTCCAATCCGAATTCTGTCAGCGCTGGAATATGCTGATTCGCTGAGTAGGGAAAGCGGTAAGATAAGGCAAAACCGAATTTCTCGCAAGTTGTAGCAAGTTGAAGCAATGCGTGTAATAAATGAATGTATGATCCGGACAGTGGCAAACTGACCTCCGATTTGCAAACGTTAAAGGGGTTTGGCAAGTTCTAAGGCCCTTGTCCTTGTATGTTTTTTTCCCCCTTTTCCTTTTCTTTCTGACCGTGCCAAAAAGACAAAGGGAGAAAAAAATAAAATAAAAAAAACAGTTATTTTGCCTGTTTGCCTGGGGGATATCTTAGTGACGGTATGCCGCGCAAGTCGCGTTCACGTTGTGTTGCGCGCCCAATCTTGCACCCTTTTTTTTTTTAGGAAAAGAACCGCTCTTGATGCACCAAGTAGGTCACCCTTCGAATACACCGACCAAGTACTCCGTATAGTAGACGTAAGATAAATTTTTGTCTTGTCTTTCCTTTTGAACCCCTTTCCTTTTTTCCAGATTCCTTTTTATCTTTGCTTTTCAATTTCCTTGCCGCCTTGTCACTCTCTGCACTGTTTTCGCAGATGACAATCCAGCCTGTACAACCTGTTCTTGTGGACCTTTTCTTCTCTTAAATATGTCTTAGAAGATGAAAAGAAAAGGCTCTCATACAAACAAGTACTCTGGACTGTAATTAAGCAGCATAGTCATTCGCTTTACGAGAAGGGTGGAAGGGAAGGGGGGGGGATGGATAGGTAGGTAATGGTGGTGGTGAGACTTGGGAAAAGCTCAGCTCGGTTGGGCGACTTTGCCTTTGGAGCCTTGGCTAGCCACGCTACGCCCGTTCAGTCTAGCGTTGGCGCACGTGATTATGCAGCCTGAGGCCGCAGGGTGGAGTTTGAGTTGTTTGTATACGTTTCCTTTCATGAAAGGGGGGGCAATCTGTACCTTATGAAGAGGGTAATTTAACCCCATCGGGACTAGCTCGATTACGTCAGCCTTCATCAGGCGGGAGCTTCTCTCACGGGATGCCAAGTGGAGAGAAAGAGGGTGTGTTCTGGATCGTTGGTTGCGAGTGGGTAATAACAACTGAATTGTCGCTCAACAGCTCGGTCTGGTCTGATCGACTGATATTGTTCTGCCTGCTTGGGTTCTGTCAGCTTCTTTATATGTCATGATTCTCGTTTAACCCAAGTAATTGCTCTGAATATCGTCCTGGGTGCAGACTATACTACTTTACTATGGCGTCGCACTCAATGTCTCTTCGTGACCGTCAGGTCGGTAGGTATCTGGTTTCCTCGTTTGCACATTCCTGGGTGGTGAGCGCATATTGATGATAACAACTGTTCAGTTTCCATTCAGAAGATTCTCAACCTAAACCACGATCCGCAGACCGAAGAGAGCCATCATGATACCTCCGCACAAGGCCTCATCTCGACCCCCATTCTGAACGAGGATGGCGACCCAATCTGGAAAGTCCTGGTGTTCGATAATATGGGACGGGACGTTATTAGTAGCGTACTCCGGGTCAATGACCTTCGGACATGGGGCGTTACTATTCATCTGTACGCGCTCCTATTATATCGACTGTTTAACATGTGAGGCTAACAACTTGTGCTAAGAAACATCAATTCCAATCGATACCCTATACCCGACGTCCCCGTCGTCTATCTTGTCGAACCTACTCAGGCCAACCTTGAAATGATCACCAACGACTTGGCTCGCGGACTCTATACACCAGCCTATGTGAACTTCCTATCGTCCGTGCCTCGGCCCCTGCTCGAAGATTTCGCTTCTCAAATAGCGACAACAGGGACGTCGGAGCATATTGCGCAAGTCTATGACCAATATCTCAACTTCATAGTCGCCGAACCAGACCTTTTTAGCTTGGGTTTAGGGCATGATGCCTACTGGAAGATAAATAGTGCGCAGACAAGCGATGAGGATCTAGACGCAATCATCGATAAGATTGTCAGCGGCCTATTCAGTGTTAGCGTCACTATGGGTATGTGTGGCCAGATGATGTGCTCGATCGTTAGTAACTGATTGGGAAACAAACAGGGGCGATTCCAATCATCCGATGCCCAAAAGGCGGAGCAGCAGAGCTCATAGCCACGAAACTCGATCGCAAACTCCGCGATCATATCCTTAATTCGAAGGACAATCTTTTCTCAACCAACAAGAAATCTACTCCTGGGGTTCCCTCATCACGACCTGTGCTGGTCATTGTCGACCGTAATGTGGACTTGGTTCCGATGCTTTCTCACTCGTGGACATACCAGTCGTTGGTGCAAGATGTTCTTCAGATGCGCCTCAACCGGATTACAATCGAGACGACCGATGAGGCAAATCCTGGCAAGGTGACCAAGAAAGCGTATGACCTGAACAGCAACGACTTCTTTTGGAAGCGCAATGCCGGAGCTCCATTTCCACAGGTGGCCGAGGACATCGACGCTGAGCTAACGAAGTACAAGGAGGACGCGAACGAAATCACAAAAAAGACTGGCGCGTCATCCATCGAGGATCTCCAAAACGACACCAGCAGCTCTGCGCAGCACCTGAAAGCTGCCATTACTCTACTTCCGGAGTTGCGGGAACGCAAATCCATTCTGGACATGCATATGAACATTGCAACTGCACTTCTTCAAGGCATCAAAGACCGCCAGCTCGACAACTTTTTCGAGCTTGAAGAAAATATCACGAAGCAATCTAAGGCGCAGATTATGGAACTGATCAATGACCCGGCAAAGGGGAGCGAGCCGACGGACAAGCTTCGGCTCTTCCTGATCTGGTTCTTAAGTACCGAGACCGAATTAAACCGTGCGGACATGAGTCAGTTCGAAGAAGCCCTCGCCCGTGTAGGCGTCCAGGACGTCAGCCCCATTGCCTACGTCAAACAAGTTCGCGAAGTGACTCGCATGACCATGATGACCACAGCCGCACCACAGCAACAATCCTCTGATCTATTCCGTGGCTTTTCATCACTCTCCAATCGCCTGACAGATCGCATCACATCCGGTGCGCTTGGTGCCAACTTTGACTCTCTGATTTCGGGTGTCAAAAATTTCCTCCCCGCAAACAAAGACTTGACCTTGACCAAGATTACCGAGTCACTTATGGACCCAGCCTCCGCCTCCAGCTCCGCCATTGCCAAAACCGAAAGCTACCTCTACTTCGACCCTCGCAGCGCTAATGCGCGTGGTGCCATGCCTCCCGCTTCTGCTTCCCGCAATGCCCAGTCGCCCGCTACTTCTGGGGCTCCCGGCCCAGGAACCGGCGCCAGCTTTGGTCAGCGCCGCCAGGCCTTCAACGAAGCGATCGTTTTCACCGTCGGAGGCGGCAGCATGGACGAATACGGAAACCTGCAGGATTGGGTCCGTCAGACCAGCGGACAGCCCGGCAGCGACGGTGCAGGGGCCGGCCGGGGGACTGCCTCTCAAGGCGCTCCCAGGCGGAGAGTTGTATATGGTAGTACGGATCTAATGAATGCTAATGAATTCCTTACGGAGTCGTTAGCTAGACTGGGCCATGAAAGCTGAAACGCAAGAAGCCTGAGACAACACCTGAACTTGAATGTAGCTTAAACAAATAGAATTTGTCTTGTGACATATATCTTTAATGCATCTTTAGGAACCCCTTACTACTTTGTGGTCACGGGGCAGGGAGACTCACATCGAATTTCTATCTAGTACTATGCACCTTTTTTACCCGGCGCTGCCTACTATTAGTATCAATGCGACCCTGACGCCCTCAGTCCAGGTTACCTCCCCTGGCATACCTGGAATGCTACCCGGTCCTGGGCAGGCATACAACACTATTCACATGCCATCCCGGACTTGATGCTTGCTAAGATCAACGTCGTATTTGCCGCACCATCACTCTTTCTTCTCTCAGTCCAGTTTCAAAAGAATGCGTCATACAGCTAGATCCTCGAATGGTATCTCACCAGGGTCCTCAGCCACGGAGTTGAGGGCAGGATACATCATGTGAATAAGTTTTTGTGACACCGCTTGGTTCCTCCAAAAATAGCAAACGTCGACCAGTCTCAGCAAACATATTGTCTCAGTGTTACTGAGGTGGTGCATTATACCCAAATGACTACAAACCGGTCTCTTAGGCCATGCAATGCATGCAAGCCAAACGGTAAGGGGCCAGCCCCAAAGTGAACCAAATTACCTATGGTGTTTTAAAATAATTAAATTGCTGACAGCTCTCCTGTAGAGTCACCCGTTTCCTCGTTTCTGGCACCCCTGCAAGGACTACAAAAAAATGACATTAAACCCGGAAGCCGGACAGCTAGGAATCCAATCACATTCCAGCACTGGAATGATCGACAGCAAATAATGTCCAGGATGCTGTGAAGAAAAAGGATATTCGGGAACTTAAAAAGCTTCCATGGAACCGGAAGCGCGTTGTGGGCCACAATCCCAATCTTTAACTGCTGGTTCCCGCCTTGATATTGTTCTCTTAGTATTGTCTGTCTGAACGGCGCCGACTTTGGGCTCGGCTACTGCCTAGTCTGATATGCTCACAACGTCATGACTAATCCATTGTCTAGAACAAGCTCCACTACATCGGACAGGTAGTATTGTACCCTCTGTCTCTGTTCAGCCGTATGGATATTGTCTGTTTCACGTGTTGTGTGGATGGTGCAACATCCGGTCTGTTCTAGCGACCAATACGATCGACGTTGAGGAACAATACAGTCGCTCCCATCATGTTCAAGTCCCTATACAGGAGCTGGACGTGTTGTTGTTCTAAAGCAGCTTCAAGCAGATTCGATTACTTGTTTCTCAGTTCCTCATATATGACACTCTTCACAACGTCCCACAGGATATTCTTCTTTACCTACCAATCCACATCCGGTCGCAACTATTCTATACATTCTTCGGCTCCTGTGAGCCTCTCACGGTGGTGGTCATCATGGACTCCAATTTTGATCCATACTCGCAGAACCTCACCTTCCACGCGGCGGACGGGACCCCGTTTCAAGTACCCGTGATGACGTTGGATGACTTTTACCAGTACTGTATCCAGATCTGCATCAACTATGGGGCTCAGTTTGGTGCTTCAGTCATCATTTTCATCGTCCTTTTGCTTCTGACTAGATCTGACAAGCGTGCTTCTTCGGTCTTTTTCCTCAACGGCGGTGCTTTGCTGCTCAATATGGGTCGGCTCCTCTGCCACATGATTTACTTCACGACCGATTTCGTGAAAGCCTACCAGTCTTTTTCCGGTGATTATTCTAGGGTACCCACTTCCGCGTACGCCAACTCGATCCTGGGGGTCATTCTTACATCTCTTCTCTTGGTCTGCATCGAGGTATCGCTTGTGCTCCAGGTCCAAGTCGTCTGTGCCAATCTCCGACGCCGGTATCGAACCGCTCTCCTCTGCGTGTCGATCTTGGTTGCCCTGATTCCGGTTGGATTTCGCCTGGGATACATGGTTGAAAATTGCAAGACAATTGTCGAAACTGATAACCCCTTGTCACTTTCTTGGCTGGAAAGCGCTACGAACATTGTCATCACTATTAGTATTTGCTTCTTTTGCAGTATCTTCATTACTAAGCTTGGATTTGCTATCCGTCAGCGAAGGAGACTAGGTGTCAGGGACTTTGGACCGATGAAGGTGGTATTTGTTATGGGTTGCCAGACCTTGACCATTCCAGGTATGTCCTTTGTATCTGTATTGGGACGATCCGCGTGCGAGAGCTAATCAATATAGCGGTGCTTTCGATTCTTCAATATGCGGTCTCGGTCCCCGAACTCAATTCGAACATTTTGACCCTGGTCACCATCTCTCTTCCGCTATCATCCATCTGGGCTGGTGTTTCCCTTACTCGCTCATCCTCCACCGAGGAATCCCCGTCTCGTGGAGCCTTGTGGAATCGCCTCACCGACTCAAACGGCACGAGGAGCAACCAGACATCGTCTACGGACACCGCCGTCGCCATGACCTATCCAAGTAACAAGTCGAGCACGGTCTGCTATGCGGATCAGAGCTCAGTCAGAAGACAACATGACCCAGAGCATGGGCATGGCATCTCTGTGGCGCACGATGTGTCGGTTCATAGTTGCCAAAAGCTGTAGAGTCGATCGGATGAAGGCGCCACGGAGGTCGTGTTTGTTTTGGACATTGAGCTCTGAGGGCCAAAGGGAATCTACTGATTGTCTTTGTATTAATACTATTTTCGCTTCAGCGCTCCATCATTTAGTGCTAGCTTAGGTGAAATCTTGTAATACGTTATCGTGACATTTCTTTGATGTTTGTAAATACATGGCGTCCTAAATAACTCTAAATAATTTAATTTATCTATTAATGTCACGGGGGGGTGTTCATTCTGCCAGTCATGCCAAGAACCCATGCGGGGAATGCGACCTGCGGAGTTTCCCCTTCCCACTTCAATGACACAACTTGATAGCACGCCATGCACTTCGTCTATCAGCTCCTTCGACATGGCTGCTGTGCCGCAGAGGACTCTTAACTGGTTATACAGTGTATTGATTCGGGTATATCCCATTGTCTTTCTCTTATCTTTCAATGCAAGGTACTGACCCAGCGCAGGATCATTACGATTCCCGACAGACCTATCAGGACCCCAATCGCACCTACTATGATGTGGCCTCCGTGCTTGCTCAGTATACTTCCCTGTCTCCACGAACCGAAGTCTACAGTCCGTGATATCCCCGGTCACCTGGCGTATATGGTCGGTTATTAATTGTGTCCAGCATACGAAAATGGTTTCTCGGCCCTCCTCCTGCAGCTCACTGGCACGGTCCCCGTCACATTTCGCGGCACGGTGTACAAGTTTCCCATATCATTATGGGTTCCCAATACTTACCCTCGAGAGCCGCCGATTGTTTATGTGACCCCAACCCAGGATATGGCTGTTCGAGTTGGCCAACATGTGACGTTGGAGGGAAGAGTGTATCATCATTACTTGGCACACTGGGCAGAGGCCTGGGAGGTTCGTTGATCCGCAAAACGTAACAAGCATGTTTGCTGATAGGATACTCCGATTAGAGATCAACTCTCGTCGATCTCGTATCTATACTCCGTGAGGTTTTTGCAAAGGAGCCACCGGTCCGATACAAGCAACAAGAGCTACCGCTACGCCCACAACAACAACCCGAGCCAACTCAAACACCACCTCCTCTACCTCCACTCCCAGCAGAACTCGGATTATCCGTGTCTCGCTCACCACTGAACCAGAATGTGCCTTCGCCAGCGACGGCAACTCAAGTGCCACCTCCCCCGCCTCCCAAACCTGGACAAGCCGCCTCCGCTGAACAACAGCAACCGATTCCAGCAGCGCAGCATAACTCTTCGTCACCTCTTCCTCCGCTGCCGCCAAAGGAACAGGATCCTCGGTGGCCACCTCGACGCCATGCGAGTACTAGCACCCCTACAGGTCGGCCATCACAGTATCCACCAGAACAAGGTGGCATCATGGAAGGCCCAACCCCGACGCATCGGCATCCTCAGCGGCAGCACGCCATGCCACACCCCATGCCAGCCTATGCACAAGGCCCCCTATCTTCCCAAGCTGACAACCGAGCACCGCCTGGCGCAATGCCGCAGCAGTTCCCCCGTGGGCCTCAGCAACAGCCACCCTATGGCATCCCTCAGCAAGTTTCTCCGCATCGCCCGACACACCACCAAGCAAATGGAGGATACCAGCAGATGCCACCGCCGCAAACGCCTCAACAGGCACCTCATCACGTTTTGCAGCAACCATCTTCAGCGAACCAACCGGCGACGAAGCCCAGGGCCGAAACCCCTGACCTTCTGACTTCCCCTTTTGAGGTTGAGCTTCCATCATTCGCCTCCGGACCTGCGCCACCAATTCCCCCCAATCCAGAAAAGGATGCACTGTTACACACTGTGTCGAAGGCATTGGCCGAGACACTGCAGACGAATGTGTCGCAAACCGAATCCGCGGCACGATCTCTACTGTCACAGTCGGACTCTTTGCACGCAGCGATCGCCACCTTACAAGGCGAGATCTCATCGTTAAATACCCTCAATTCAAGCCTCCAGTCCAACACCTCCATCCTGCAACAGTCCCTGCATCGCGCCGATGCCGTCATTGCCGATGCGCAAAGTCGCATATCGTCATCTGCTGCACAGTCGAGCTCGGATCCAGTGCCCTCCGGTCTTCCTCCGATTGACGAGGTCCTCGTCGCCCCAACCGTTGTGGGCAAGCAACTCTACGACTTGGTCGCAGAGGAACGCGGTATCCAGCAGGCCATCTACGCCCTACAAACCGCTCATGTCAAAGGTGTTATCGGGGTAGAAACATGGTCCCGGCACACGCGCGGGTTGGCGCGCGAGGCCTTCTTGAAGCGAGCTCTTATACGAAAAATCGGGAAGGGCATGGGTCTTGAGGAATACCAAATCTAAGATGGCTTGCTACGACGATTGAATCTTTTTTATATACCGTTAAGTAGAGAAACGTCGACGAAAACTATGAACGATATAAATGTACGTATACACGCCTGTTCTTTCTGGAGTCATTGTAGCTTTCCTCCTCTGGATGCTGCCGCTTTTCTGGGGACACTCGGGGGCTGGCAGTGAGCATTCAACCGACAATCATTTCAAAAGGAACCCAACAAAAAAAAGGTTTCACTAATTTCCCATGCAGTTTTTATCGCAGCCGGCCCTTCGTATTTGCCCCTATTAAAAGCTGCTACCACTCGTACGAACCTAGTATCGGTTTATTGTTCTGAAGAAACAACCATCACCATTCCCAGCAATGTATCAGCCATTTTTCACCATGCAGGGCAAGAATCCCATTGCAACGGTTACTCTAATTGAGGTACAGTCCAATGGAAGAAGCCCTCAGGGTCATATTCCTTCTTCAACGAAAGAATTTCCTCGGCGTGAGAGCCATAGCACTGACTCAGCGGGTCAACCCCGCGCTCAGAAGCAGAATATAGAGAGATATACGCAGTGGGAAGGATATTCCCACCGTCGGTCTTCAAGATCGCCTCCTCAATGTCACATGCCCATTGCTCGGCCTCCCCCTTACGGTCCTCCACCACTGCGAACCCAACGATCTCGAGCATGTAGTGTGGCTCTCTGGTAGCAAAGACGGAGTTATCTTTCGGCTTCGCAGAGGGACCTCTTAGCTGATGCATGGAGACCATGGTGCCTGGATCAGTCGGTAGCGTGGTTAGACTGCGTCCGATTGCCTCGGCGACTTCAGGTGTGACGCTGTACAGATTCAGTGTGCGACTGGATCCATATACACTTGACGGGACCATGGCTGTATTTCCGGTGAACCATTCGGGGATTGTAGTCTCCCCGACTGTGCTCATGAACACTGGTGCCAGGCTTGCGATCTGGTTGCTCCAGTGCTTGCCCTCTTCGATGTCATCGCCGCTCCAGGCGACAAGAACAGCGAAGACGCGTCCAGGAGGCGCGTTGAATACTGCTTGTTGGATGGTGAGCTGCTTAGGGATGCCGTTGCGCAGTAGCTTTTGGTATCCAGTGTTAAAATTGGTAAAAACTTTGCTGATATCCTGGGAATCAAAGAGAATCGCACCGGCCAGAAACTAGATGAGGTTCAGCACCTGTCATTTCACACGAGTGACAATGATAAATACTTACACTCTTGAGCGGATACACTTTAATAGTCAGATCAACAATAACACCGAACACACCTCCCGCCCCACGAATGCCCTTCAGGAGCTTCTCATCCGCCTGGATAATCTCCCCATCATGATTCACAATCGTCGCACCAAGAATCTGATCGACCCCGAGTCCCCAGTGTGACGAGAAGGGTCCATATCCTCCGTACATGGCCCACCCAACATAGCCAACGCACGGGATTGACCCAGTGGGTGTGGCGAGTCCTTCGCCCCACAGCTTTGTGCCGAGCTCTCCCTGAAGGATTCCTCCCTCTACTGTAGCCGATTGGCGATCTTCGGCTATCTGGACCCCGGTAAGCGCCCGAAGATCGATTACGAGGGCACCATCCACGAGAGCCCGGCCTTCCATATTATGGCCGCCTACCCGGATGGTGAATTGGATCCTCTGGGACTTGACGAATTGCACCAGTACCCTCACATCCTCTGCGTTTTGAGGATGGACGACGGCAAGTGGAGTGTCTGGACGAGCCAGATTCCATACCTTACACACAGTGGAGAACTCAGGCGACGAGGGTGATGTGTACTTAATGCTGGGATAGCCCAGGAGGAAGGCCTCCAAGCTAGCAAGCTGAGAGTCTGCCATAATTTTGCTTTTCAGACCTGTTTACTGGGATGTGAGCACTAAGACAGAGGAGAGATTCTATATATATATATATCTCAAAGGAAAGACAATCCTGTCACCTTGGTCTGTCTCCATCAAGCTCCTAAATTGGGGTAGTATCCAATATTCCAATGGATCGGTCTGGCACCATTCGCGCCCTCGGATAAACAAGTTTGCTAGTGCTTACCAGTTGGCCATTTTACCTTTGGCTAAAGGTTGTCTCCGTCTTATCCCCGCGATTAGTGGCCCCACAGTTTTATCCCGGTCGGCCTGATAGCGTAGTCGTAGAGCGTCATTGGTAGAGCGTTGGGTAAAAACTAAGTAACTGGGGGGCCTTAGCGCCAGTGGATTCAAACCCTGTGGCTGACGCAATATTCTACCACTATGCACCTCTCGAAGAAGGCTCTATACTCTAGTCACTAGTGAACTAAGCTAAGATCTAGATGATAGACCGGGGTAAGATATAAATTTACTAAGGACAGGCGGGAGGGGAATGTAGTCTTCTAGGCTTTCTAATGTACCTATAAGACAGTAGGTGCCTATAACTACTGTATAGAAACCCTTATATATAGAAATATCAGATGATACTATTGGATTTTATGTGGTTATAAATGTCTTACAGGTCTAAGAGGGGCCCTAGGGACAATGGAGAGGTATCATAATAACAAGGAATTTATATATAATTAAGGCCTTGATGCCAGACTGGGCGCATCGCCTGCATAGCCATCCTCCGCTATAGATCGGCTCTAACAGTTTATAAAATTTAAAATAGAGGGGTCCGGAGGGATCGGGAGGCAGGGCGTTGACGTAGGCCCTGGAGGGCTAACTTAACTAACCGTCTGTCAGAATGACTGACGTATGTGGGGAGAGGCTCTTTGGTTCTTTTTCTAGGTTTTTTTTTTCTTATTCGCCGTGATAGTAGGATTTGGTGTACATAGGCTAGATAGGCTGTTGACTTCACAGAATATGCCTCCGCCATAGAAGGACTCGCTGGATGAGCATGAATGTTACTACTGCCGCTGATATACGTGCAGTCTATACAAGAGAGTCTCCGTGAGATTGGATCTGCATAGCTCTTTTTGTTGCTCTCGCTTTTGCCTATGTTTCGGCCTTTGAAGGACTCACGAGGCAAATCACACATTCCCAAACTAGATATTCACACATTGGACATTGTCATGAAGTATTATACGCTGTAAATTTGAGAATAAATTCGAAGATGGCCTATCCTATTTTAGTCGTGCTATTGCTCTTCATGGACTAAGCGAGTGACCCTCATGACTTGATATCATGCATACAATCTGCGACATGCGCTGCTCGATAATTTCTTGAAATAGAAAAGAAATACTCGCACGCGGCAATTGCCCAGGTCCATAATGACAAGCCTCTAAACACACTACTAGGGCCTTCTTGCCCTAATTGCGCCGCTAAGAAAAGTGTCTTTCCGATGCATAGAGTAAGAACGTCTTAATTTTATGCTTCTCGGCTCTCACTCACTGCATACGCTGGATAATGCGTTTAAATCTTGATTTTACTGGTTTCCTCCCTAGAATTACACCTATACGTAAACATTTCAGCTTTCTAGCTAATATACCGGTTGAACAGCATCTAAAGCTCTAGTATATTTGAGTCTTACGAATATTTTCATGCTTTGTAGGAAGATATGAGTACTAACAGAATCTGTCAGGTGTCGAGCTACTATTTATTTTCACGATCCTAAAGGAAATCATAGTCTTGGTAACCAACATCACAACTTCGGCTTCGGCTTCTCCTCCCTCTTCGTCCCAACAGGCATCTGTGCTATCTGAAACGCCATCTCAGACATCCTCACCCCCTCCTTATCAGAACCCCGGCTCTGATACTCTTCCCAAAACTTCTCATCCTCCAACCAACCCCAAAACCACCGCTGCGTCCAATCCGCAATCCTCGAAGCGCACCAATCAACCTGCTCACAGACAAGAGTATGCCCACCCTTCGGCAGCACAGCCTTCTCCACCATCCCTTTAGCCACCCCACCACTTCCTCCGGTCCCCGTCCCTGTAGTCCGCATCTTCGACTCCTGCGCATCCGGCAGAGAGAGAAAGCTCCGTCCCCCAAACACCCAGAGCACACTTGGCCGGACATAAGGCAGATTCCGCATGGCGGACCAGCATTCCGGACGGGAAAACAGATACGGTCGCTCTTTCTCGACATCCCAGTCTGGTAAGAGAAGTCGGTCGAATTCCTCCCGTTCGAGGTTCGGGGTGAAGAAGTTCCAGGATTCTTGGTGCTTGGTTGTTGTTAGTGTTACTGCTGTGGGAGGCACTTTGGGGTCTGTGACTGGGTTGTAGAGACGCGTGGGCACCGGGCGGAGTGCGTGGCGGAGGTAGCGGTCTCGAGCTCGAGGATCCCATTTGGCTAGGCCTTTGGTGAGAGACGCAGTGGCTTTCTCCGGCGATTCCCAAAGGTCCCTTCGGCGACTGGCCATCATGGCTGGGTTGGGGCCACCGAAGGCTACTTCCAGGATAACTGGTTCGATTAGGACCAGGGTTGATAGTAAACGTGGGTGGATAATTGAGAGATTGACCCTGTCTCATAGTAAGTTAACAATATTCTATAACTGACTCCATCGGGAGAACGAATTGACTTACAGTTGAGCACATCCCATACTATGACCAACACCAATAAGCGGCCTCGGCATTTCCTCCCGAAAGTGATTAACCATATGTAGCAGATCGCGCGAGTGATCATACCAATTAGCTTAAAACCGGACCCAGTTAGCATGTCTCCCCATTTCAAGTTCCAAGATTCAAAAACATACTCTGATCCCCCTGAATATCTTCATTCAAGATAGCACTAGCACCTTGATTCGATGTATCCGCCACCCAGATCCCACGCAACGGCACAGAGAGCTTCTTCAGCTGGTTATAGAGGTCTTCCCATAGAGGCTCGTAGATTTCCTTGGGGGACCCATTTCCGGGCACACCGATTATGGTGATTGCATTGTCGGGGATGGGGTCTGGCCTGTCCACATCGTTGGGGATATATTGTTTTATGGCGATTTGTACGGGCGTCTCTTGGCGGCCTTTGATGCTACGGGGGGATTCGCGGATATGTTGGCCTGGGATGACATGTTCGATGATCTTGAAGGGGAAGGACATGTTGGTTGATGTAATCGGGGGAGCTGAGAGCTAAAGCAGTGGAGCTACTTGTAGAACAGCTACACGGAGAAGAAGGGGAGGGTAGTAGAAAGTAGTTGTATGCATAAATGATGAACAAAAAGTGAGCACAGCACGTGCCAAGACCAAAGTAACACCTCGGGAGGTTTAACGGTTAGTATGTGACTGGGATGTATATTTGAGTATGCCAGGATGTTTGGAGCTCCTGTTTTCATACCGTATTGTTTCGTTCGAGTTTATTACACTTCCATCTTGGCATGTGACTTGTTTGCCCTACTAATTGTGTCACTGTGACTCTGTCTACAAAAGGTGAGAATGATATTATTGGTTCATGCTTACTTTCGTAATGAAATAAGAATAATGGTGATAATAATAATATTTACTATAAAATATTACGACTCTTGTCTTGATTGGAAAATGGTCTATATTTATTCTAGACTTAACAAGATATAATTTAGTGCGATATAGCGCGGTTCACATGAAGTTCATAATATGAAACTACCGCTCCAGCTCCTCCTTCGTCAAACACTCCACCAGCAGCTCCTGGATGACTGGCAAAAATTCACCTCGTTGAATTGCCCTGTAGATGAGGCTTGTGTATCCACCCACCGTGGGCGCCTCCTCCACCTGCCCGGTAGCCATTGCCTCCTCAGTGGGTGTCAAGATCCTCTTCGTACACAACATCGGCACCCCGAGAGTCTTCCGCACAAAGTGATACATTTTCTTAGACCCATCACCCAACACAGAGCTAGCATCACCATGAACCAGATAAGCGTCCCGGTTGGTGCACCATGCTTCGTGGAGCCAGGGACCGAGCTGGTCAATGAACGACTGCATTTCTTCTAAAACGACACTTTGAGAAGGTAAACAATCCAGAATGGGCACGCGCATCGTCTTGGCGATGTGAGGGAACCGATCCGTGCTGTCCATTGAGACGGTCTGTTCTAGTCCTTTCTGGAGATGAGCCCATAGCGTGGCTGGCAGGTTCTCGCTAGCGTCTGTGGTGATTGGGCTCTGCTTCTCCACCATTGAGACGGTCCGGGCGAAGAACTCAGTCTTGACTCCCTCCAAGAACTGTAACTGCATGGCACGAAGATCCAGAGCCTGACATACGGAGAGAAGATGCGCCGCGACAATCTCCGTTAGGACCTTAACCGCCGTAGCAGTGTATCGACCGGAGATAAGAGCCAGTGAGTTCAACGACTGGTTACCCAGCTCCGCATTGTACACATGATTAACTGGACCCGCCAGGAACCCCAGCTCGGAGGTCAACGCCGAGATGTAAATGTCAATAGCCTTGAAGATGCCGGATTGACTGGGTTCGTCTGCAACCAGGTTCGGGGGGAGACCCCAGCTGGTGGCGGGATTGATCATCTCCTGACACTGGGTGAAGAGCATACGACCGATCGCCTGTACGGCCTGACGACTCTTCTCCATAGAAGAGGTGACGGCCTTGGCCTGGAAATTCCCTCCATGGAGGAACTGTCCGTCGCCGTTTACAAGGGGGTTATCCGTAGCCGAGTTGCATTCGATGCTGATTTGCTGATGGGCTAGTAGCAAATCTTCGAGCACGGGGCCCATCCATTGCGCAGCAGTGCGAATCGAGTATCGATCCTGGCGAAGTGATCCATCCTTGCCATCCTTCTGTAGTGAAAGTCGAGAGCCACGCAGGAACACCCGGATGTTCCGTGAGCTCTCGACCTGTCCTGGGTGCGGACGCACCTCGGCGAAGAAGGGGTCGAAGCTCTCCGGCGAGCCTAGCAGTGCTTCTACGGTCATTGCTGTCAGTATTTGTCCCAACATGGCTAGCTGGTGTGTATCGTGCAGCACGAGCGTGGCGCAAGCCGCCGACATCGCCGTGCCATTGACAATAGCGAGACCCTCTTTTGCCGTCAGGGATATCGGCTCCACACCCGCCTCCGCAAGAGCCTCGTCAGCGTACACATCCCGTTCGATGCCTGGACGGAAAACTCGAATTGTCGGCTTGCCCTGAAGTACACCGCTAATATAAGCAATAGGACTCAAATCCCCCGAAGCGGAGATACTCCCCCGCATCGGGACCATAGGAATGATATTCTTCAGAAGAAGATCCCGTAAACGATCTACGATAACGGGTCGAACGCCCGAATGGCCTTTGACCAGCGAATTCAGACGCAGTAAGACTGCAGCCCGCACCCAGGGAAGTGGCAGGTGCTGAGACTCGGCTGCATGTTCGAGACTCAGATCGAACGCCTGATATGCGAGCTTCTGGCGATCAGAAGGAGGGCGAGGATCACGCGCGCCCGGGGGTAATACACCATAGCTCAGCTCGCGGGTTAAGACGCGCTGGAGGGCTAGGACGTCGTTTGCACGTATATCTGCTGAGCCTCCGAATCCGGTATTTACTCCTGGATCAGATAGTCAGGGATTTATTCTTCACAGTTTTCAAGTGGAACTGAATATACCGTAGATAACATCCCCTTTGGAAAGGCCCTTGGCAATGGCAGCTTGGCTCTGATTGATTGACTCGTAAGATGTCGGATCTATGCTCACATTGCCTGCATACCTTATAGGGTTTAGAGATAGATTAGACCAACGCAGAATGCACGGTGAAGCCGGGATCTCTTTACCTGGCAATATAAACCACATGGGGAATATCTAGTCCGGTGCCATTGAGGACCAAATCTCCGGCAGCACCGCGAAGTAATTCATTCAGCAAACTCCATTGCTGCAGCACCAGTGAAGTATGAAACTCGAATGACTTTCCCATTTCAATCTCTATGGTATAACCCAACAGCTTACCTAGTAAACCATGCACGGCAAAAAGCAAAACCAAATAAACTAAATAAAACCAAGAAGGAAACCAGTAACAAGCAAACCAAGAAAGTTACAGCCAATGCCAAGAGGCGCGACCAAACTTCTCCGAAACTCTCTAGCCGATGATCAGGACCGAAAAGTACCTTAACTCCTGCGGCGCGGAAGGATGAGTTGGCATGGTAGCATCGCGTCGCTCGGAAGTGCTTGGATAGGTAAGTGATCGTCGTAGGTTCATTTATACCTCTTGCATTATCAGTACTTTTCTATATTGCACGTGGGGGCCAAATCATGAAGAGGAGGCTTTTAATAAATATTTCTATTAATGCCTGAGAGAACTAGGGCTTTGAGATGTCAGCACTAAGCCAGCTAACTCTGTATGTATGCCGCATTAGCGCCAATAGTGGAGTGAAATTCACCCCATCGGGCCCACCACTTGTAATAATCATTCCTATGTGTACAACATTGCTGTGTCCAGATTCGCTGTTTTATTTATTCCTATAGGAGGGATATTTATGCATCCCTGTACAGGACCACTTTAACGCCATTTTTCGACTCCAGCGCGATACTGGACCCTTCGACCCATTGGTCGGGATCAACACTGGTGATACACTTGAAGTTTTGCGCCATTCGTACCACAGCATACGCCACTTCGTTTAGACCGAAATCCACTGGCAAGAGCTTGTTAGCCCTTTGATCATAAAATGAGCGTTAGTATCGAACAAGGGGGAAACTTACTGCCTACACAATTGCGGGGACCCCCGAGAAACGGGATATATTTCTACTCCGATGGTAACACGCTTAGGTCAGAATATTGCAAAGAGGCTACCGGGATAAGGAGTGTCTTACCCAGGTTTGCTTTTCGTACGACCATCGTTCCGGGCGGAACTCATCCGCGTCCTCGCCCCAGAGGTCCTTCCGGTGGTGAAGGGCATAGACTGAAAGATGAACCATCATGCCCTTGGGTACTAACACGGGCGAACTTCCATCTGGACCACCGCCAGTGGGGAGGATGGTATCTCGTATGGCAACGCGGGAGTTGGAGGGCTGAGGCGGATAAAGGCGAAGACCTAGGTAGTTAGGTAGAGGGAGTTAATCGCCAAGTGACCCCATGAGTCCATCGGGATACAAGAGAAAATCAATATCTTACATTCGCGAATGCAGTCTTGCACATATCGGAGGCCCTTGAGCTGTTGGAGATCGGGGGATTTCCCTCCCAGCGACTGGACCTCGGAGCGTACACGATCCCACACATCCGGGCTCTTGGAGAGCACAAAGAACAGGTTGATAAGCAAGGCGGCCGGGGCGTCTGTCCCTGCAAAGTATAATGTCGTCAGCTCATCCCGGAGTGCGGTGGGATCTTGCGTTCGTTGTCGAAGTTGGTCGATAAATAGAATCCGCTGCTCGTTTGGCTGATCCGAGTCCTTGCCCGGTGGTGTGACTTCACGTCGCAAAGCCGCATCAACGTATCGTTGGATGAAACGGTGTGTCAAGCGAACATTTTTTCTAAATGTACGCTGGGGCCAGATCCATGACATTGATCCCAGCAGCCATCGAAGCTCGCAGGTGCTATGAGTGTCGGCGAAAGCTTTCAAGGCACCGCCGTCGAGGTTCTGGGGGTTCTCGAGAGAATTGATTGATTCTCCGAAAAGGAAATCTGTTGAAACATCGGCGGCAAAGCGATGGAGAAACAGCGCCAGGTCGAAGTGCTGGTTATCAGGAGGAAGGGCTGCCAGGAGACGCTGACAGTGACCCTCCAGGAGCTCCAGCTGCGACGTTTGCACCCGCGAGAAACATAATTGTAGCTGCGATCGTAATGTTTGCCAACGGGCTCCATCACTTTGGAAGATGCTCTTGCCAAACAAGGGGGCAAAAGCATTCCGACGCCGGAATCCAACCTCGTAATCGGTAAATCTAGTAGAAAAGAGAACTTCCAGGTTCTTTGGCTCAATTGTATTCACCATCCAGCTGCCTAACAACAGCGAACTGAAGGTGTTGCCATAGATTTGATGTAGTTGCTGCTCTCTTCGAAAATACCTGTCGGATTTCCTCGCCTGCATGGAATCACGCAAGGAGTCCAACCCCAGGAAAGGGTCCTGGTGGGCATACCGTGGTGGTGCTTGACAACCATGAGCGTAGGCGAAACTGCGACGAGAAATACATTTTGTAAGATAGAGCACGAATATCGCCACAACCCCAGCACCCACAGCCCATACCCACAAGTAAGCCCTCTCTGACGAGAGAGACAACATAGTGGGGACAAAACCCGTTTCAGCCGTCATTTTTCCAAGCCAAATACGACCGACGCTATCTGAACAGTGTACCCAATAGCATAGGTATTCTGACGGGGGATATGAACAGGGCTTAAATCCTGGACATAACGGGGGAGGCTTGGGTCTCCCTATTTATATTTCTAAACCTATCCTCATTTTCTGGGACACTTAGATCAACTATGGCACCTGTTATAGGGGGAAGAAGAATCATCGCCTCCGGCTCAACCAGGCCGTTTCAAGCCCGTCGTCAACTGAGTCCCTACGTCGTTCTGGTATAACAGACAACTCTTTTCATTCCCCGACATACTCGAGACAAACCACTAATTTCATGCCAGAAAAACCACATTTCTACGGCAATTGCCACTGCGCCAAAGGACACAACATTCTTTGCCGACGAGTCTTATCTTGATTCGCAGTTTTGGGAAAATGCCGTGGGAACTGCACTGAAGACGCTCATGAGAGGCGCTAGATATGACCCTGCCACGCTACAAGAACACCTCAATTTCGTCTCTCAAAGCGTTGCACCTGTCTTAGGTGCACGCCCCATCCAGCGCCAGGCGCCTCGGTGGAAAAGCTTCATGACGGATGATTATTCTCCACTGGAATACAGTTGGAGTTGGGATGGGGAGCGGCCTACCATCCGATATAGTTTTGAGCCAATCGGCCCTTTGGCAGGAACGGAAAAGGATCCATACAACCATCAAGCCCCGATGGCATATGTCGATCACCTCCGGCGCCATCTGCCCGCCGCCGATTGGAGGTGGTTCGCCCACTTCGCCCGTGCTTTCTACCAAGACACTTCCGCCAAAGTAGCGGCCGAAAATTATGGGTCCAGTCCCTCCTCCGTTTTCATTGGTTTCGACCTCGGACGAGATGGTCGTAAGATGTGCAAAATGTATCTCGTCCCGGTAAAAGCGGAACAAACTAATCAGTCACGACTGGCGGTTCTCGACGACGCCGTTCGAACGCTACCACAGTTCTCCGATTTGTCGGCTTATTCTCCGCTGCAGGCTTTCCTGCAACATCAGGAAGCAATTGGCACTCCAGCACATATTATTGGCGTGGCTGTCGACTGTGTCGATCCATCCGCTTCGAAATTGAAAATTTACTTTCGGAGTTCTTCGACCTCCTTTGCAAGTGTCAGAGACACGCTGACCGCGGGTGGAATGGTGTCTTCGTGGGACAATTGCGCACTGGAACAACTGCAAGAGCTGTGGTCTCTTGTTCTTGGTCTCCCTTCAGATTTTCCATGTAGCCAGGAGCTACCGTCGAAATCCCATGAGACATCGGGAGTGCTCTATAATTTTGATATTAAGCTTGGCAATCAACAGCCGGAAACGAAGGTATACATTCCTGTACGCCATTACGGGCAAAGTGATCATGCAATTGCCGTGGGTCTGGTGGAGTTTCTGCAACGTCGCGGTGGACACTCCCAGTACCACGATCGCTTTCTCAAGGCATTAAAGCAATACGCCTCGTTTCGCGCGCTAGACCAGGGGTGTGGAGTCCAGACTTACATCGCCTGTGCCTTCAAGCGAGGCCAACTCAGCTTAACGTCTTATCTTTCGGCGGAAATCTACCATCCTGGTCGCTGGGAGGGGTTAAGGGGGGAAACTAATGTGGGAATGCCAATTTTCTAAACATACGTTTTGTTTTTATTGTTGGTGTATTTAATTATTTAAATTTATTCAAATTAATTCAATCCTATTTAATAATCTATTTGTAAACAGACAGTCACACAGGAAATTAAACAATTCAGTTGTCTGTACCCAGTAAGCAAGGTCCATGAGGGCATCCGCATACTTGCAGTGTCGTAGGGCTGGAGGAGCTCAGTGCGCAAAGCGATCGTTGCAGGCTCATTTGAGTACAAAGCATCCTCGCTCTGCCCCGTGGGCTTTCCTGCAGAGGCGATTTGGCCCCCAAAGTGGCTGCAGCTTAGACATAGCGGTGGAGAATATCCGCCTATCAGTCCTCTTCAGGCCTGCCTACTCGAAGACCTGCTAGTCGGTATAACATATTCATAGTAGGTACCCTGGTTAATTGCCTTTAGGGTGTATGGTGTAATGCTAGTACATACATAGGTGACAATTTCGGTATCAAGCAATGAGGATCAAGTAGCTTCCAACGATCAACTGCTGACTAGAGTATTAACCTCATCGATAGATAGTTCAATACGAGGGTCATACTAGCGTAGTTTTCCATATCCAATTTAGCGCCCATTTACCCCTCCGCCGGCAAAAGTAATACGGCCTTTCACTATTACTGATTAGGATCGACATAGCGCCATATTGCAGAGACATTTTCCCAAGATAGTAATCCCGTGCGTTGGTGTGTGTAGCCAACCCCTCAAATCATGCTTCAAACAAGGACAATTTGCCTTGAGGGCTCTGCAGCTACATGTAACTATGATGCTGGCAATGACTAAGATAGGACCGTCTTATGCATACGCAGCCCATACCTTGCCGTTGATGTGACGGCCATAATCCCTGAAGATATGGGGCTGTGGACATGCATATAAGCGCTTGGCTCTGGAGCGTGCGGCAGATGTCGACAGCTGCATGATCATAATTATTCGTATCCGGAACCAAGCTGACTGACTTGTCTTTTATTCTTTTCTTTTCAATGGAAGGAGCGCTCGTACTATAGATTTCTTCTCCCTCAGAAGTGGGTGCTAAGAGGACACTGGTGACATCATGCCTGACTCACCAATACCAAGAGAACAAATCTCGTCCCAGTATCTGGAAGAAAATATCTCAAATCGGCTCGTCGCGGCATCATCGGTCATCTTGGTAGTTACAACCATCCTGTTGGCCCTTCGTCTTTATGTCCGCTATCTGCCGAATGTGAAAACTGGCCTGGAGGACATCCTGCTGCTTCCGGCCTATCTCCTTTCGTTAGCATCCTGTATTTGTGGCTATCGTGAGTTTTGTACCCTTTTTGTATTCTTTGTTCTAAGTTGTTCCCCATAAATCCCTTTGGCTAATAACGATGGACTATTCAGTTGCGGTCACCCATGGCGGTGCCGGTCGCCATGTTAAGGCACTCATGATTGAAGACCCGAATATCATAATTGTACGAGGAAAGCTGTTGTACTCGCTCAGTTGGGTCTCGGCATACTCAAATTTCTTCTCGCGAGTCTCCGTCCTGGTTCTGCTCTATACCATATTTACGCCAGGTGTTGCTCGAAAATGCACCGTTCTTCTAATGGTCTATATGGTCCTCTTCCTCATCTCTCAGACAATTGCCGGCGCCATGGAATGCAGGCCGCTCGCATATTTCTGGGATCGCACCGGGGAAGGAACATGCATCAATCTCTTCCTGTTCTTTAAATTGAGTGGGATACTAAATATAGTCGGTGATGTTGCCATTATAGTGCTCCCCGTGCACACGGTGTGGAATCTACAGGCATCAATCGCCAAGAGAGTCGCTATATCATTTGTCTTTCTCTCTGGTAGCATGTAAGTACATCTTTCGGGAAACGAAACTTGGTGATATATTTTTCCTTGCCCTAATGCAGATGTCAGAGGCTTGATTGCGTCCTGCTTCCGAACCGCTTCCTTCTTCACGTCGCAAGAACAGTCCACGACAGATCCTACGTGTATGATTATCCTCATCTCCACTGTAGATAATCTTTGGGCTAACTGCATTTCCTTATCTAGGGGCGGATGTTGAGTTGATGAGCTGGACAATTGTTGAAAGTGGCATGTATATGGCTGCTGCGTGCACTATGCGCCTGCGCCCACTACTGAGAAAACTACCAGGGTGGTTTAAACAGTTCAAGACCACACATGAAAGCGGGGTGACAGTTGAGAGAACTTTCACTATAGAGGATGGGAAAGGGTATGAGATGAACTTCTACGCCAAGCAAGGACATATCCCACTCAAATCGTTTGACAGAGATCTAAACCGGTCAAGTATCCAAGGCCTACGGCGGCAGGAAGTCACTAGATAGATGCTTTCTGTGGGGGTATGTGCTATGTATATATTTATCTATCATTTTCTGGAGGTGTAAATATTAATCCTTAGTGAGTAGTCGCCCTACATGGGATTCCATGCAATGCATGAGTAATGAACAAATATTAAAACGCAAAGGGACATGTACAGTTGCAACTCCGGAATGATTCGGAAATTGTTCTCAACTTTGCTTTACTAATATTCCATTTGGCTTTCCAACGGGGTCCACTACTAGTACGCTATTTAAATATAAAGACAAAGACACTCCCCCTCTTTCGCCCCCATCGCTTTTCCCTGCCGACCCTCACCACTAAATGTTCTCCGTGACCATCCATACTCTTATAATAATATCTACGTAAAGCCATGGTCTCTGCTACCTTTCCATTGCCCGGCGTTACCCACGGCAAACGTATCTTAGCCACTGTCATCGAGAACCGAGCCAAGGATGGCACCGACACTAACCCCTGGATATCGGTCCCCATCAACGACCAGGATCTTTCCGCGGGGTACCGGGACATCACTTTCCAGCAGTTGAACAATGCAGCGAACCACGCAGCTCAGTGGCTAAGCCAGGCTCTTCCAACGACGTCCGAGCCTTTTCAATGTTTTGCATATGCTGGCCCCAAGGATCTGCGGTATGCGATTCTTGCAGTAGCCGTGGCGAAACTGCAGAAAGTGGTATGTTCTCAAACTTCACTAAAAGACACCAGGAAATGCTAGATAAGCTGATCAACATCTAGATGGTTCTCCCTTCACCCCTGATCACACCGGAGGCCCAGCTGCGTATTCTGGAAAAGAAAAACTGTAGATTGTATCTCAGGCCAGCGGAAATGGCTGGTCCTGTAGGTACTATTTTACAAAAGGCACCTCATATTGAAAGTATCACGGTCCCAGGAATTGAGGAGTTCCTCAGGGAGGATGAAGCATCACCAGTTGTTTATGGTAAGACATGGGATGAAGGAAAAGACGATCCCTGGCTGGTGTTCCACACCTCAGGCACAACAGGTATATCTTTCATTCGACATTCTCAGACCATGCACTAAATCTGTCCCAGGAAATCCCAAGCCGATCACCTATACACATCAAATGATGGCTGGTGCCGATACCGCGGCCTCTTTGCCGGACATTGAAGAAACTCATATTCATCAATATGCCCAGCGAAGGTGGTACACCCCCTTGCCCTCCCTACACGTAAGTCCCATATCCCGGCCATTTCATATATATACTGACTATTATAGTTTGTTGGCATGTTGATGAGTCTTGCCATGACTGGATTCGTGAATATGACATCAGTTATTGGGCCGCCAGCTCCTCCTACTCCCAAACTACTTATAGACATTTTCCGCTACGGCCGGATAGACGGTGCACTTCTCATGCCCGCTCTAATTGACCAACTCTGCCTCCTCCCCGAAGGTATTGAAGCGCTACGCGAGCTAAAATACATTCACTATGCCGGTGCTCCCCTGTCTGCTAAATCGGGAAATCTACTCTCACCGTACACTCAAGTTGTCCCCTGTGTTGGCAGCACCGAAGCTGGAGGGTACTTTACAACTATCCACCAAAACAAGGATGCATGGGATTACCTCTCCTTCCAAAAACATTCCGGGGCAGAATTTGAACACCGCATGAATGACCTGCACGAGCTCGTATTTGTGTGTCGTCCTGAATGTGCAATGCAGCAGATCTTCCAAGTGTATCCCGATCGCGAAACATTCGGAACAGATGATCTATGGGTCGAGCATCCGGTGCACAAAGGGCTATGGAAGATCATCGGCCGCAGCGACGATTACGTATATCTTGCCCATGGCGATGGGCTACATGCTTCGCTTCTGGAACCAGAGATCATCGCCCATCCTAGCGTGAAGTCGGCGATAATTGGGGGTCATGGGCAGATCTTACCAGTTCTTCTGGTAGAGTTGATTCCTGGGGTGGAGCTAGACGATACAGCTTTGAAGGAAAGTCTAAAGCCTTACATTGATAAGGTCAATGTACACTGTCATGACTGTGTGAAGCTTTCTTCGGAGCGGTTGATCTTTGCCACGAAGGACAAGCCATTTGTCTTGACAGTTAAAGGGAGCGTGGCGAGGCAGCAGACTTTGGCTCTCTATGAGGAAGAAATCGCATCCTTATTCGCTTGAGAAAAAGCACATCTTAGGATATTTTCAAGAATCTAATGAGCAACACTCTTCATAAATAATCGTGTCTCCTTTACATGTCGCTGCTCCAGGATACCCAGCACTATTTTACCGGAAAGGCCGTAGCTCACTAAGGCTCAAGTGACCATGACATAGCTCCCTCAAGGAGTGCTTGACCCACTCAAGGTACCCTTACTGTTTTGGATACATACTGCCAGTGTACGGAGTACCACTCTCTTGTCTATTGTTAGGGTTCATAGAGCAGATAGATATCTTAGTAAGCAATAATGGGCCAACCACGTGACAGGTGCCCCTCGTGTCCGGAAAGGAAAAACCAAGCATGCCCACTGACGGGGTTCCGGTGCTATGACACACATCGGCGGGATTTCGCAACAAAACTTCCCATCCACGATACTCTACCACTGATCAGCGTTTGCACAGCCTGCAAAGATAGCCACAATGGCCGATACCGTCGCGGAAGGAGTTGCCAAGCTCCAGCTCGACCCGGAGACGGGCGAGATGGTGTCTAAGGGCGAACTTAAGAAACGAATGCAAAAGCGAGCCAAGAAGGCCTCGAAGGCGGCTGCGAAAGAGAACCAGCCAAGCAAGCCAGAGACAAAAGCTGCTACA